TGGGGGCATGGCTCTGTTGTGGCTCCGGTCCTTCCTGGAGGGTCGTTCCCAGATGGTGAAGCTGGGTGACACCTGCTAGGACCCATGGCCTTTGACCTGTGGGGTCCCACAAGGTTCCATTCTGTCCCCCATGCTTTTTAACATCTACATGAAACTGCTGGGAGGGGTCATCCGGAGTTTTCGAGTTCGGTGCCATCTCTATGCAGATGACACGCAACTCTACTACTCTTTCCCACCTAACTCCAAGGAAGCCCCTTGGGTGCTGGACAAGTGCCTGGCTACTGTGGCAGTCTCGATGAGGAGGAACAAGCTGAGGATCAATCCCGACAAGACAGAGGTCCTCCTGGTTGATCGTAAACCGGATCGGGGTATAGGGTGGCAACCTGTGCTGGACAGGGTTGCACTCCCCCTGAAGTCACAGGTCCGCAGTCTGGGTGTCCTCCTGGACTCATCACTTACGTTTGAAGTTCAGCCGTTGGCAGTGGCCGGGAGGGCCTTTGCACAATTATGACTTGTGCGCCAGCTGCGACCGTACCTTATGAAGTCAGATCTGGCCAGAGTGGTCCATGCCTTAGTCACCTCCAGATTGGATTACTGTAATGCGCTCCACGTGGGGCTGCCCTTGAAAACGGCCTGGAAATTTCAATTGGTACAATGGGCGGCAGCCAGATTGCTAACTGGTGCTTCTTACAGAGAGTGGTCAACCCTCCTGTTCAAGGAGCTCCACTGGCTGCCGTTCATTTTCCGGTCCCAATTCAAGGTGCAGGTTCTTTCCTACAAAGCCCTGAACAGTTTGGAACCTACCTACCTGCGTGATCACATTTCTGTATACGAACCCACACGATCTCTTCAATCATCTGGAGAGGCCCTGCTCGTGCTCCCACCTCCTTTGCAGGTGCGACGAGGGAGAGGGGCTTCTTGGTGGTGGCTCCTCGACTCTGGAATTCACTCCCCAAGGACATCAGACATACCCCAACGCTAGCAGTCTTTAGGAGGAGCCTGAAAACGTGGTTGTTCCAGTGTGCCTTCCCAGAATAAGGAAAACTCTTAGCAATATGTCCTCAAATGCACTTTAATATTGATTTAGGATTGTCTGCGCACCCTCATCTTTCTTTGAAAACCCTATCCTAGTTTTACCCAGCATTATTTTTAAATTTTAATTATTACATTTGACCCGGCCATAGGCTTTTAAATGCTTGTATGTTATTGTTATTGTTTATTGTGTATTTTTGTTTATGAGATTTATTTTAACGGTTTTGTTTTGATTATTTGTGATTGCCTTCGTTTATTGATGTACTGTGGCCTTGGCCTCATGTAAGTCGCACCGAGTCCCTTGGGGAAATGGTAGCGGGGTACAAATAAAGTTATTATTATTATTATTATTATTATTATTATTATTATTATTATTAATCATGTCAGAAGCTATTTGCGAATACAGTTATAATGTATAGAAAAACCACAAACAGAGTTCAAAACTTGGCAGTATACTAAATGTCCTTTGACCAGAAGCTGGCCACTTGGACTGCCTCTGGTGTTGCTGTATGAAGATCTTCCATTGTGCATGTAGCAGGGCTCAGGCTGCATTGTAGTAAGTGGTCTGTGGTTTGCTCTTCTCCACACGCGCATGTTCTGGACTCCACTTTGTGGCTCCATTTCTTAAGGTTGGATCTACATCTTGTGATGCCATAGCATCACAAGATGCCATGCCTTCTAGGTTGCCCAGTCTTCTGTGTGTCTAGGAGGGAAATTCTCATCCAGTCTCAGCCATAGATTGAGGTTTCTGGTTTTAGCCTGCCACTTTTGGACTCTTGCTTGCTCAGGTGTTCCAGCGAGTATCTCTGTGGATCTTTTGTTCGATATTATTTCTAGCACCCACTTTTTGCTTGATAGGCAAGCAGTGTTTCTTGTAAGTTAGAAGCACTGTTGCATATATTTTGGTGTGTTGCAGTGCTCCAGTGAGATTCCTTCCCAGGTAATCCTCAGAGCTCGAGATGCTTGTCTGTTCTTAAGGTGAAAAGCACACATCTGCATTTTAGATGGATTAGGAATCAGGTGGTTTTCCCTGTAATAGGCAGTAAGAGCACCTAGAGCTTTGGAGGGCTTCTGTTCAACCACTTAATATTGATATGGTGGAGGTTTTAAACTGTGTTGTTGTTTACAATAATAATACATCCCTACAAGAGAAGCTAGGGATGGAAAGATCGTTGGAAGATCTTTGCAGTTGTTTGTTGGTTGAAACACCAAAACCAATGCCATTTTCTTTATTATTATCATCATCGTTACCATCATCATTATTATTCATTATTATTACCATTATTATTGTTTCCGGCACCCACTTTTTGCTTGATATTCAAGCAGTGCTTCTTGTAGGTCAGAGCACAGTCCAGGGTAACTCCCAGGTATGTGTTGGTGTGCTGCAATGTTCCAGTGGGATTCCTTCCAAGGTAATCCGCAGAGCTCGAGATGCTTGTCTGTTCTTAAGGTGAAAGGCACATGTCTGCATTTTAGATGGAATAGGAATCAGCTGGTTTTTCCTATAATAGGCAGTAAGAGCACTTAAAGCTTCGGAGAGCTTCTGTTCAACCATTTCAAAGCTCCCTGCTTGAGCGGTGATGGCACGATTGTCAGCATAGATAAAACTCTCTGTCCCTTCTGGCAGTGGCTGGTCATTTGTTGAACATTGATGGAGCAAGTACACTCCCCTGAAACATGCCATCTGCTTCTCTGGCCCTGGAACTCAACAAAAAGCTCCTGTTTTGTAGCAGATTTCATATAGATAATATAGATATATTACTTACTAGATAATAAAATTGTAATAATACTAGATTATATGATATAATAATAAATGATAATATGTAATACTAGCTGTGCCCTGCCACGCGTTGCTGTGGCCAACCTTCCCTCCCTCTTTCCCTCTTTCCTTCCTTTCTTCTTTTTCTTTCCCTATCTCTCATCTTTCTTCCATCTCTACCTGTTACTTTCCTCCCTTTCTTTGCTCTTTGGTTACATCCTTCCTTCCTTCCCTATCTTTTGTTCCTTCTCTCCCTTCCCTCTCTTTTTCCTTTCCCTTTTTTATTTCCTTCTCTCCTTTCTTGCTTCTCTTTCTTTCTTTCTTTCTTTCTTTCTTTCTTTCTTTCTTTCCTTCTTTCCCTCCCTGCTTCTCTCCTTCCTTCRTTCCCTTTTTCCCTCCTCTCGTTACTTCTTGACTGTCCCTTCCATTTAATATTGTATTTATCTCTTAGAAAGAAGGAAAGGAAGAAGGAAGGAAGGAGGGACAGGAAGGAAGGAAGGAAAAGAAAGGAGAGGCAGGAAGGGAGTGAGGCAGGAAGGAGGGGATGAAGAAAGGAGGGAGGGAAGGAAATGAGGGGGAAGGAAATGAAAGGGAAAGAAGGAGGAAAGGGAGGGAGGAAAAGAAGGAAATGAAGGAAGGAAAAAGGGAGGGAGGGAAAGAAGGGAAGGAAGGAAAAAAGGAGGGACAGGAAGGGAGGAAGGAAGGAGGGAAAGAAAGGAGGGGGATGAAGAAAGGAGGGAGGGAAGGAAATGAAGGGGAAGGAAATGAAGAAAGGGAAAGGAGAAAAAGGAGAGAGGAAAAGAAGGAAAGGAAGGAAGGAGGGACAGGAAGGAAGGAAAAGGGGAGGGAGGGAGGAGAAGGAAGGAAGGAGGAAGGAAGGAGGAGAAGAAAGGAGGGAGGGAAGGAAATGAAGCAAGGGAAAGAAGGAGGAAAGGGAGGGAGGGAGGGAGGAAAAGAAGGAAAGGAAGGAGAAGGAAGAAGAGGAAAGAAAGGAAGGAAGGAAAGGGAGGAAAGAAGGGAAGGGAGGGAGAGAAGGAAGGTCCTTCATTCAAGCACCATGGACCTTACTGTAAGCCACCCTGAGTCCCCTCTGGGAGATAAAGCGGGTTAAAAATAAAGTTATTATTTTTAATCTGCTTAAAAATTGTTATTATTTTATTGATGATAACAATATAATTATATGATAATATATAATAATACTAGTCACCCCCTGCCACACGTTGCTGTGGCCTAGTCTGGTGATCTGGGAATCTTCTATCTATCTATCTATCTATCTATCTATCTATCTATCTATCTATCTATCTATATGACTCTTTGTCAGGACGGCTTTGATTAGATTTTCTTGCCCTGGTGAAGAGAATTGGACTGGATGGCCTTCAGTATTTTCTGTTGGTCATGGGGGTTCTGTGTGGGAAATTTGCCCCAATTCCGTCGTTTGTGGGGTTCAGAATGCTCTTTAATTGTAGGTGAACTATAAATCCCAGTCACTACAACTCCCAAATGTCAAGGTCTATTTCCCCCAAACTCCATCTGTGTTCATATTTGGGCATATAGAATATTTGTGCCAAGTTTGGTCCAGTTCCATCATTGTTTGAGTCCGCAGTGCTCTCTTGATGTAGGTGAACTACAACTCCAAAATTCAAGGTCAATGCCACCAAACCCTTCTAGTGTTTTCTGTTGGTCAGGGGAGTCCTGTGTGCCAAGTTTAGTTCAATTCCATCATTGGTGGAGTTCCGAATGCTTTTTGATTATAGGTGAACTATAAATCCCAGTAACTACTAATCCCAAATGACAAAATCATAATTTTTTGAGTGATGGTCACTCCTTGTGTTGTGAGACGGTTTGTTGCCAAATTTGGTGCGATTTCGTTCATTGGTTCTTTTGTTTTTAGGTTACTCATTACGCACAGAACATTTTTATATATATAGATATCACATATATAATCATAATATATGTAATATAGTATGTTTATTTAATTTCTTACTTTTTGGTTATTATTGGCTAGTTATTATAAGTTTATATTGATGTTGTTTTATTTATTGTGTGGATTGATTTGTTGTTTGTCTGTTTTATTATGTCATTGAATGTTTGCCGCTTTTGATGGAAACCGCCCTAAGTCCCCTCAGGGAGATAGGGCGGGTTGTAAATAAAGTATTATTATTATTATATAATATTATATCGCAATAATAGACTGTTGCTTGCTTTGCAGGTGCGGGAGATCCTGGGCCATTGCAGCTGCCCGTCTCAATTCCCGATGGTCAAGGTCTCGGAAGGGAAGTACAAAGTGGGCGACTCCAACGCTCTCATCTTCGTCCGGGTATTTTGTTTAGTCCGATTGTACCTCTTTTCTCTTGGATTTCCTTCTCGATCTCCTTGCATTCTGATGCTTTCTTTGCCTCCCTTCCTGCTGACGCAGGTGCTGCGGAGCCACGTGATGGTGCGCGTCGGGGGAGGATGGGATACACTGGAGCACTACCTGGACAAACACGACCCCTGCCGCTGCAATGCCTTCGGTGAGTGTGTATAAGTGTAGCAGAGTAGAAATAGAGAGGTAGGTGGGTAGATAAATACATAGAGATAGGTAAATAGATAGGTAACTAGAGATAGATAGGGATAGCGATAGATAAATAGAAAGATAGAGATAGGTAGATAGATAGAGATATGTTGTTGTTGTTCATTCGTTCAGTCGTTTCCGACTCTTTGTAGCCTCATGGACCAGCCCACGCCAGAGCTTCCTGTTGGCCATCACCACCCCCAGCTCCTTCAAGGTCAATCCAGTCACTTCAAGGATGCCATCCATCCATCTTGCCCTTGGTCGACCCCTCTTCCTTTTTCCTTCCATTTCCCCCAGCATCATTGTCTTCTCTAAGCTTTCCCTTCTTCTCATGATGTGGCCAAAGTACTTCATCTTTGCTTCTACTATCTTTCCCTCCAATGAGCAGTCGGGCTTTATTTCCTGAAGTATGGACTGGTTGGATCTCCTCGCTATCCAAGGCACTCTCAGTTCAAAAGCATCTCTCTTCCTTCGCTCAGCCTTCCCTATGGTCCAGCTCTCACATCTGTAGGTGACTATGGGGAATACCATTGCTTTAACTATGCAGATAGAGATATAGATTGAGATAAATAGATAGAAATAGATAAATTGATAGATAAATAGATAAGATAGATAAATAGAGATAGATAAATAGTGATAGATAGAGGTAGATAAATAGATAGAGATACATTTATTTATTTATTTATTTATTTATTTATTTATTTATTTATTTATTTATTTACTATATTTATATACTGCCTTTCTCAACCCAAGGGGGGACTAATTATTACAGTAGGATTATATCATATAATATGAGCCTATGACTTAACCATTATTATCATTATTTATTATTATTTATCATCATCATTATCATTGTTATAACCCTGGTGTATTGCACTGTATTAGTATTATTATATAATACTAATATTGTAATAATAATACGATTCTATAACTACGTGAATTTACTAGTATTATTACAGTATTAGTATTATAGCATTATTAATATCATTTTTATTATTACTATTATTATCCTGATATTAAGTCCCTCTGTATTAGGATAACAATTAAAACAAATGAAGTATAAATTCGGCTGGACTTGCTGTTGAACCTGCCTCGTCACATGACGTCATAATGCACTAACGAAGCGGAGGCCCTAACGAGCGGCTGGGCCTCATTAAGGAGAACGCAAGGAGAGACAGGCTTTTGTCTGTCTCTTCTTGACGCACTCCATCCATTATGCAAATTGCTTTGAGCCTGATTGGAGGAACGGTTGCCCCGGGAACGGGCCCGCCTCTGCTCTTAAAGGGACAGAAGCCTCCTTCTGGATTTCGACTGGCTTTCCCTTGCGTTGCAGCGCACCGTCTGAACCCGTCGCGGGGCCTTGCTTTCTCCCCACAAAAGATGGCCACCGCGCCAGGAAGTCCCCAGTCCGGGAGCCCCGTTACGCCGCGAAGGGCCATCAGAACAACAGGGAATGATGGGCCTTGCAGTAAGTCCAGCCCTTTGAAAGGAGCTGCAGCCAATGGTCAGCAGCGGGACAACAGCAGCCTCAGGTACAATGGACTGTTATTTAATATATTTTTATATTTTTTTTTAATTTTATATTGTTATTTTATACTTCATTTTTCTTATTTTATTTTTTATATTTTATACTTCATTTGTATGAATTTTATTATGTATTATTTTATTTTATATTTCTATTGTATTTTGTTTCTATTATATTTCTATTATATATTTCATTTATATTATTTTATATTTATTTTCATATTTATTTAATATTTCATTTCGCATTACTTTGATATATTTATGTAATTTCAAGGTAGTTATGTTATGTTGTAATTCTTTTTATTCGTTGTTTTATTTTATATTATATATTATATAATTGTGTAATTTAAATTTTTACATATTGTTCTATTATACTATTTCATATTTTATTTTATATATGTAATATTATATATATTGCTTTATATTTTTAAATTATTTAATTATTTTATATTATCATGTTTTACTTTATATTCTGTTCCAGTTTTTATATTATTTTTATAGTGTCTTATATTTCACCTTATACCCGTATTTAGTCGAGTAATGCGCCATCGAAATGAATGCGCACCTCAATTTTCAAAACTTGGAAACCCAAAAAAGTATTTACCATATTATGTGAATCTAATGCAGGGGTCCTCAAACTAAGGCCCGGGGGCCGGATGCGGCCCTCCAAGGTCATTTACCCGGCCCTCACTCAGGGTCAACCTAAGTCTGAAACAACTTGAAAGCACACAACAACGACAATAATCCTATCTCATGAGCCAAAAGCAGGCCCACACTTCCCATTGAGATACTAATAAGTTTATATTTGTTAAATTGTTCTTCATTTTAATTATTGCATTGTTTTTAAGTTATTTTTGCACTACAAATAAGATATGTGGTATGCATAGGAATTCATTCATGTTTTTTTTTCAAATTATAATCCGGCCCTCCAACAGTTTGAGGAACTGTGACCTGGCCCTCTGTTTAAAAAGTTTGTGGACCCCTGATCTAATGCATGGTCTAATTTTGGAAAGGCCACTCAGCCAAAAAGGTGCACATTAGAATCGGGTAAATGCAGTATTTCATTTCAATTTTGATATTTAATGTTATATGATTTCTGATTCATCATGCATTATAAATAATTTGATGTTGTATTGAATATTGTTGAAAAAACAGTCCCTTAATCCGACCATGCTTGAGAACTATAGACGGGTGTCCAATTTGCCATACATCTGCAAAATCCTGGAACGGTGATGGTCAGGAATTCTTGGATGAAGCGGATTTTCTAGACCCATTTCGGTTTGGCTTCAGGCCAGGATATGGAACAGAGACGGCTTTGGTCACTTTGGTGGGTGATCTTTGCGGAGAACTAGATAAGGGGAGTTTGACCTATCTGGTTTTCCTGGACCTCTCAGCAGTTTCAATACCATCAGCCATGGTATCCTTCTGGAATGACTGATGTGAATGGCGCTGAGAGGCACTATTTTGCAATGGTTCCCGTCCTTCCCCACGGGCCGTTCTGAGAAGATGGTCTTGGCAGAGTCCTGCTCGACCCCATGGCCTTTGTCCTGTGGAGTCCTGCAGGACTCATCACTTTCCCCAATGTTATTTAACATCTACATATAAAACTGTTGGGAGAGATCATCCGGAGTTTTGGAGTTTGGTATCACCTGTATGCAGACGATGCCCACCTCTATTACTCCTTTCCAACGAATGCCAAAGAAGCCGTCTCGCACCTGAACCATTGTCTGAGGGCGGTAATGGACTGGAGGAGGACAAACAAATTGAAGCTTAATCCAGACAAGATGGAGGTACTGCTTGTCTCATGTAAGATTGATCCAGGAGTAGGGCCACAACTTGAGCTGGACGGGGTCCCACTCCCCCAAAGGTGCAGGTTCACAGTTTGGGGGTGATTCTAGATTCCACCTTAAACCTGGAAGCCCAAGTGGCAGACGTTACAAGGATCGCCTCTGCACAACTTAACTGGTGTGCCAACAGTGATCACCCTTGGAAACATCTGACCTGGCCATGGTGGTACATACCTTGGTTACATCCCGCCTGAACTACTGTAATGCGCTCTACGTGGTCCAAAGTTTGGCAGCAAGGCTGTTAACAGGAGCGGATATAAGGGAGCATACTACCCTACTCCTGAAACAAGATGCACTGGCTTCCAGTGTTTCCAGGCCTGATTCAAAGTGCTGGTTTTGACTTTTAAAGCCCTTCACAGCATCGGTCCAGATTACCTGAGACATCAGGTTCCTGTATATACATGCTTTTATTAGCTGTCACCTTAGGCACTTGGATGGGAAAAAGCGGGGTACACATTTCATAAATAAATAAATGTTGATGCAGAAGTTGTTAAGAGAGATTTTCATGAAATTGTATTGCTCCTTTCCTTCCAGATCCTTAAGAGCACGGCGTCTCTCTGGTGACAGTGATTCCTCAGCTTCCTCCCTCCAGAGTGGGGCCCTTGGGCGCAGGCGCAGCGACGAGGCCAAAATGGCCGCCAGACGGGTCTCGGAAGGGGCCGTTCTGCAGGTTCGGCCTGGTCCCAAGAGGCAGCCGCTGGACAGCCGAAGCCACTCCAGAGAACGGGGGGCTGTTGTTGCATCCCGTAAGCCAGATGCTGAAGAACGTGGCCGGTCTCGGTTGCCCAACGGAGCCCAAAGCCCTCGTCCTCGAGCCCGAAGCCAGGGTCGGTCCAGTGGTGGCCCCGTTTTGCTCATAAGTCGAGGTAAGGATGGTCAACACTCATTGGTCCGAGCCGACGAGCCAAAAGGAGCATCTGGACGAGCCACTCCTGGGACCAAGAGTCCGGCTGGTTGCAGGAGTCCAGTGCTGACCCATCGACGGGGCTCTCTCCCAGCGAATAAAATGGCTGACTCTGCAACCCGGAGGCAGCGTCAAGGTCCGAAACAGTGCGACAACATAGGACAAGAATTGGAGCAACTCACTCGCACTTTCCGGAGTCCGCTCCGCCTTGATCCGAGCCAGGAGCAACAACTATATCGCCGTTTGGAGGAGGAGTTCTTAGCCAACTCGCAAATGATGGAGGAGGAAGAGGAAGACGAGCCAGTTGAGTCCCTGAATCGTCCACGCTTGTTGCAAACAAACACCGCAGACTCCGGCACGGCGGCAGATTCGGCGTATTGCTCTTCCAGTTCCTCCTCATCGTCCCTGAATTTCTTCTCCAAGTACGGCCTGCAGCCTGATTCCAAAGACGAGCCCAAGCGGAGGTTGCAGGTGCCGGATGCTGCAGATCCCTCAGACGCCTGGGAGAGGAGGAAGCCGGCCTTGTCCAGCTCCTCTGATGAAAGCAACTCCTACTTGGGCCTCAATGAACTGGCCGAAGTGGGGGATGGTTTCTGGCGGGGCAAAGAGATGGCGACAATGGCTCTGGATGGAGATTTAGGGCCGTCTTCTTCACCGCCTCGTACTATTGAGGAGGTTGAGGAGGTTGTCGTTCTCCGTCCAAAGTCATCCCTGAAGAAACCCGAACGCGTGCCTTCCATCTACAAGCTCAAGCTGCACCCCATAATCAGGCCCCGTACTGACTCGCAGCCGGACAAGACACCCTCGAAGATCCCGACACCCCTCAGCTACAAGGCTGCAAAACCGGCAACAGAGAACACCCCAAAACCATGGGCTGCCTTCCATGACATCTTTTCAGCAGAGCCCGGAGTGGCTGATGACGAAGGGTCTTGGGCTTGAGGACCATACAGGCCGCCATTGTGTCCCAATGATGGGGTGAAAGAGACTGCCATCTTGTCCCAACAAAAAGGGTCCTGAGCTTGAAGACAAAATGGACGGACATCTTGTCCCAATGATGGGACAACCGTCACGTCCCAACGAAGGGGTCCCGGGATTAAGGAGGACAATGGGCCGCCATCTTGTCCCAATGAAGGGACAGAACGGGCGGCCGTCTTGTCCCAACAAAGGGTCCTAGGCCTGAGGGCAGAATGGACTACCATCTTGTCCCAAATTCCGCACCTTGAACTATCTTTTTCCTGCTGCTATCGCTGCCTTGTTTGCGCAAAAACCCGCTGCTGCTCCGATACGGAGCTCTTGGGGGGAGGGGGGAGATGGAATTAGGGGGTGCCTTCCTTTAATATTATTATTATTGTTATTATTAATTTTTGGGGCTGGAGGATATGCATGGCTTCGGCGGTGGCATGCTTTCAGGGGTAGAGTCCTCAAGCACTGGAGTTTTAAACTGTTTTTTAAGGGTAGTCCGGCACCGCTCCGTTGTGTTGGTTTCATACTGATATAATGCGGTGCGGATTTTGGGGTCGACAATCCACTGTAACCCCTTTTGTTTTGTTATTTGATTTGGGTTGACATGGCTATCTGTCATCTGATCGTGGTTCTGCGCTTCCCATCCCGTCGATATCACAAGCTTTTCGTTGCTCCCATTAATATCAAATCCCCATTAGTCCAGAGCGTTTTGGAGAAGTTCAGATAGTGACTCTTAATGGTGACTCTTAAGTCTTCCGTAAAGAGAGCTTCAGGGAAGTATTTTCTTGGGTTTTTTTAGCTAATAATTTGGATGAGACACTCAGTTTTCAGCTATTTTTTAAGCAAACCATTCCGAGGAGAGGCTCGCGTTCGTCTTATTTTTTAGTGGATCATTCAAAGGAAAGTCTCGTGTTTCTCGTATTTTTTAGCGGATCATTCAAATGAGAGGCTCACTTTTCTGCTATTTTTAAAGCAAATCATTCAGAGGAGAGGCTCGCGTTGGCCTTATATTTTAGCGGATCATTCGGAGGAAAGTTGTTTCTCGTATTTTTAACGGATCATGCGGAAGAGAGGCTCGTATTTCTTGGCATATTCTTGCCGAAGTCTTGCACATGAATCTTTTCTCTTCGGCAAGAAACTTCTTCAGGGACCAGGACTGTTTTGCGCCTCCCTTCTCATCCTAACGTACTGTAGCTTTGTCTTAATTAATCTATGCATATTTATAATGAGCTCCGCCTCCCGTCCTGACCCTGACGAATGTAGCGAAAACTGAACCGAATCCCGGACAGTAAACATAGAGCAAACGCATTGGTTTCTTGTGCCTTTTATTGTGTGGATGTGTTGGGTGAATGAATGAGTGGGGCAACCGATCTGTGCCAGATTGTAGCCTGAACTTTTGAGGTTATGTTGCACACATGAATAATCTCCAGAACTAAAGTCTCTCCATCTAGGCGGGCAAAGAATTCCAAATTTTCAGAGAGGATAGCTATTTATTCCTTAGCTTTGCCGAGAGTGTGTGACTTATACCAAGGACAATATGTGGCTTTCCAGATATATATGAATTTTCAGACCCCAATTTTTTGGAGAGGGATAGATTTATCTCACTTCCTATTGTCTTAGCCCTGTTCTTAACTAGGAATTGTTTGTAAGTTGGATGTTTGTAACTCGGGATGGCCTGTATATGTATTTATACACACATCTAAGAAACACGCATGTACACACATCTAAGAAACACGCATGTATACACACATCTAAGATACACACACATAGGTGAAATACATCGACATTTTTCAGAATGAGATATATATATATATATATATATATATATATATATATATATATATATATATATATATGCATGCCTGAATGATGTCTATGTATTCTCACTCACACACACACACCTTAGTAAAGTAAAGGTTCAAGGTTTCCCCTTGACATTAAGTCTCGTTGTGTCAGACTCTGGGGGTTGGTGCTCATTTCCATTTCTAAGCCGAAGAGCCGGTGTTGTCCATTGACACCTTCAAGGTCATGTGGCCGTCATGACTGCATGGAGCACTGTTACCTTCCTGCTGGAGCGGTTCCTATTTATGTACTCACATTTGCATGTTTTTGGATTACTAGGTTGGCAGAAGCTGGGGCTAACAGCGGGAGCTCACCCTGTCCTGCAGCTTCGACCTGCCAACCTTCCAGTCAGCAAGTTCTGCAGCTTAGCGGTTCAACCCACTGCAGCCCCATTTCTTAGTACATATATTTCATATATATATATATACGCACACACACACATACACACTGAGAAACTGGGATATTGTGTGCATATGTGTACACATTAGTTATGTATACACAGATATATATACACTATATATAGAGATATTAATCTCCCCTCCCTTAAAAGAGACATGAATATTGCTAGGTTTTGGGCAATTAAACACAAGCAACGGGAATTGAGTTGTTCGTTTATTCAGTCAGGAAAAGAGCAAAATGGTGCTGACGGGGGAGGACGGGACCCCCTTCCACGATTTAAAGGGGGTCACATGGATTGTATAAAGCAGAACTGGCAGATGGGATACACTACACAGCGGGACCATTTCCAAGATAGCCGCTGACTGACCTCTGACCCTAGCCCCCCAAAATGGCCGCCAGCTGGATACCTTTCACGGAGGAAAGATGACGGTCTGCATCCCACCCCCTTCGCCACCTTTTTTTTGGGGGGGGGGATGGGGTGGGGCAACAGAAAGGACAGGAAGTTGGGGGGTCCTTGCGACCGTGGCTCGTGGCCTTCAGTTCTTGAGGATGGTTTCATAGGCCTGGAAAACGTGCTGCGCAACTTCGGGGGCCCGGCATTTGAGGGAAAGCTGGAGAAGAGCAAGACAAGAGCAGAAAAGGCCTTTATTAATGTGGCGGCCTTGTTTCATAGGATCTCTGAAACACCCTTGTCCTAACAGATGCCTAATTTTGGAATTACGGGAAACCTATACACAATCATATCCATTTATGGAATCTTACTGTTTTTAGCACTGGAAGCCCTAAATAGTCCTTCTCTCCTCCGCCTCCCGCCCAAAACCTGCATTCAAGAAACTCACCTTTCTCCACTCGGAAATGTCCCTTCGTGGTTGCTTCCCTGAACAGTTCCACATTTCAAAATCCCAATTAAACACTTATTTCCCCAAAGGAATTTCAGTCTAAGACTCTTCCCTATCATATTTATTGCTTTATATCACATTGAGTAGAACATATATAATATATAATCTGGATGATGGCCCTTGGGGTCCCTAGCAACTCTTATGGTTCTAGTCCGAAGCTAAACCTAACTCGGGTGCGCGTGTGTGTACTTGCTTGGAGTACCATATGATAATATAACTTCCTTTGGTGACTATTGTACAGTTGGAAGGGGACCCCAAAGGTCATCCAGACCATTTCCAGAATTGGGTGGAAGGCTTTCTGCTCATCCAAAGACATTGTCCTCATTGATCTATGGGGCGTGGGACTACAATTCAGCCCAAAGTGTCCTGTGACCTCCATAGCTCCTCATTCTTCCAAAATTGATCTAATGAATTTGGGAGGGGGGCTTAAATCTTACCCAAAGCACAATGTCAGGTGTCCTCAAACTAAGGCCCGGGGGCCGGATGCGGCCCCCCCAAGGTCTTTTACCCGGCCCTCACTCAGGGTCAACCTAAGTCTGAAACGACTTGAAAGCACACAACAACAATCCTATCTCATAAGCCAAAAGAAGGCCCACACTTCCAATTGAAATACTAATAAGTTTATATATGTTAAAGTTGTTCTTCATTTTAATTATTGCATTGTTTTTAAGTGGTTTTGCACCACAAATAAGATATGTGCAGTGTGCATAGGAATTCATTCTTTTTTTTTCAAATTATAATCCGGCCCTCCAACAGTTTGAGGGACTGTGACCTGGCCCTCTGTTTAAAAAGTTTGAGGACCCCTGCACAATGTGATCCTGTAACATCCTTTGGTGACTGTTGTACAGTTGGAAGGGGACCCCCAGAGGCCATCCAGACCATCTTCTGGTTGGGTTGAAGGCCCCTGGCTCCTCCAAAGTCCCACTGATCTAGTGAATTTGGGGGGGGGGGGGGGCTTTAATCTTGCCCAAGATACCTTGTGATCCCATAACTCCCTTTGGCAACTATTCTACAGTTGGAATTGGCCCCCCAGAAGCCATCCAGACCATCTCCTACCGTGAGGCTAGGGTTCCCTGGCTGGATCCGGAGCTCGGCCAGGACCCAGATGCCGTTGGTGAGCTTGAGCGACTGGTAGAGCATGTCCTGGCCCTCCACGTTCCTCTTGGCGATCGTGAAGATGTTGCTGCCCTGGAGCTTGGTGCTCACCGCGTCTACAGAGGGAGAAAGGGAGCCACAATTGGAGGACCTGGAAACACCACAGCCTCTCTAGGCATCTTTGGCCTTTTGGTGTGATTCTATGGCAGTTTTTCACCAAAGCTGCACCGGATGACCTTGGGATGCTGGAGAAGACAGGCTTCTCAAGCACTTCTAGGACCTCCAGTCCAATTCTATGGTATCCTTCCACTGACCGTTATCATATTGGAGAACCTACAAATACTACAGTGTCCTCTCTTGGCATCCACCATGTCCAGGGTCATTCTAAAAGTTGCAGCAGAGGACCTAGAAATGTTAAGGTATTTTCAGCGTGATTCTATGGGATCCTTCTGCTGGATCTTGACCAGAATGTTGTATCAGAAGGCCACGGAATGCCAGCGTCCTATCTAGGCATTTTCCTCTAGTGTGACTTTATAGTATGCTTCCACTGGAACCTGACCATAGCCATGCATTGGAAGGCCTAGAAATGCTAGAGATGCATTCTGAGTCTCAGCAGGATTCTGTGGACAGACTTTGACCACCTAGAAATACCAGTGTCCCCTCTAGGCATTTCCTAGGTCCTCCAGTGTGACCCTATGGAACATTTCCACCAGACATTGCAGTCAAGGGTCTAGAAATGCTTCTCTAGCACAACTGGATGATAGACTTTACTGCCAACTTTATATCATAAAGTTGGCAGTAAAGTCATGTAGGACAACCTCTCTAGGCATTTCCTAGATCCTCCACTGTGGTATGCTTCCACTGGCTCTTGACCATAAAGTTGCACTGGAGGATTTAAGGAGGCAGTGCTAGGTCCTCCAGTAGGAATCGGTGGTGGGCTCCCATCAGACACTGGCCATAGAGTTCAATTGAAGGAACTAGAAATGTCATGGTGTCCTCTCTAGGCACTTTCTAGGTCTCAAATGTGACTCTATGGTACATCTCCTCCAGAAGTTGCAATAGAGGATCTAGAAATGTTAGATCGTTCTAGATCCTTCACTGCGAGTTGATGGTCATTCATCACAGCATCACATGGAGAACTGAGAAGCGTTCTAGGTCCTCCCAGCACCATGACAATAGAGTTTATCTCAAAATAAGTTTGCTTACTCACCTGCGCTGAGGGAACAGTCCTTGATCTGAAATTGTGCCTCGTTCTCGTTGGGGATGTCCTTCCAGGTGGCCAGAAACATCTGCCGCTCTGCAGAGGGGAGAAAAGGAAGATGGGAGTTCAACTGAGGAATTCTGGGAGTTGAACTTCCCAAAGCTAGCTATTACAAGGGTTAGAAGGACATCATCTACCTGTCCTCTTATTTGCATTATATTTTATATATAGAATAATATTTTTATTTATATTACTCTACAGTATATAATATATATTTCTATTTATATAATTTAAATATATAGTTATATTACTGTATTGTATTATTCTATTTTTATTTATTTATTATATATCATATAATATCAAATAATATACTATAACTATGTATAAAATATATAAATAAATATATATAATGTATTATTTTATATTTATTATATATATTATATGTACATCATATCATATATAATTATATAATTTACATAAAATAATGTAATTCAATAGAATAATATAACTATAAAATATTAGATAAAATATATACAATATACTTAGAGATAGATAGATATATAATACATATATAATAATAGAATAGAATATTAGAGTATATTACAACAGAATAATATAATAATGTATAAAATATTATATGAATATATATATATATATATATATATATATATATATATATATCTCAATAATATAGAATAATAGACTTATAAAAATATTATATATTTTTCTGTCTCATTTACAGTGAAAAATGTGCATGTGTATATGTGGCGGAGGTGTCCACTTACACAAACAATCCCCGGCCTCCACAAACAGGCTATAGTGCCAAGTGCTGAGAAGCCTCCAAAGGCAGTCCATCTACTAACATTGCAGGTTACAGCGAGTGCCATGAACATGTAGTTCATACTTTGCCAATGTCCTCCCCAAACACCACTCAAAGAATGCTTTCATTCAGGGACTAAACTTTAGGTGTTTCCTCCAACACAGGCAGGCACCCCAGGGTTCCTTTCTCTCTCCATTGCTGTGGAATTTGCATGACCCCCACCCACTCTTCTCCCTTAACTCTTTCCTATGGCACACAAAACAAAGAGAGGAAATGATCAGCAACTGAACAAACTGGAGGGGTTTGGGGGACTGACCCAATAGGATGGAAGTTGTAGTTCACCCTACATCAAGGCAGAGCACTGTGACCCCCTTTGATTATGGACCTGGACCACATTTGCCACGCAGAACCCCCATGACCAGGACTGGAGGAAGTTGACCTTGATTTATAGACATTGTCATTCACCTACATCCAGCGAGCACTGTGAACCCAACCAACAATGGATCTGGACCAAACTTGCCACAGATGATGGGACTTGCAGTACCTTCACTCACTTCCAGAGACCACTGTGACCCTCCCGTATGACGGGCCTGAGGTGTTTGTGGGGGGGAGGGGATGGGGACAACCCACCCAAGTGGGAGTTGCCGTTCACCCTGCACCCAGAGAGCATTCTGAATCCCCCAATGGTGGATCTGGAACACTCATAGCACACAGAACCCTAATGGCCAACAGAACATATTGGAGGGGTTGCGAGGGGGAGGGCGGTAATGACCCATCCATGTGGGAGTTGTAATTCACTCTGCATTCAGAGCACTCTGAACCCCATCAAAAACTGATCTGGACCAAACTTGGCTCACAGACCCAACTGTGAATACAGACGGAGTTTGGGGGTGATTGCCCTGGGAATCTGTGAGTTGTAGTTCAACTGCATCCAAAGAAACTGTGACCCCCACCAACAATGAACCAGGACCAAACTTGCCATAGAGATGCCTCATGACCAACTGAACAAACAGCAGGGGTTTGTGGGAATTGACCTTAATTTTGGAAGTTCACCTGCATCCAGAGAGCACTGAACCCAGCCAACATCAGATCTGGACCAAACTTAGCACGGAGACCCAACATGACCAATTGTAAATACTGGCAGGGTTTGGAGGTGACTGCCCTTGGCATATGGGAGTTGTAGCTCACCCTTATCCAGAGAGCACTGAACCCAGCCAACTACGGATCTGGACCATACTTGACACACAGATCCAACATGGACAGCTGATCATACAGGTCTGGTTTGGGGAGGATTGACCCACAATTCTGAAAATTGTAGTTCACCCACATTGTTATGTATTTTCTAATGGGAGCACTCATAAAAAAACAAAATCAAAGACTGGCTTTTTCTATTAAATGGTGCTACTAATTAACTAAATGATATTACCTAACACCCCGAAACAAATAATGCCTTTTTCAAATAACCTGGGCACCGCCGGGTACCCAAGCTAGTAGAATATAACATAATGCATAATAGTAAGATAGGTAGATGATGTCCTTCTATCTACGAAAGTCTTAAGTCTGTATGTCTGTATGCTCCAACATGGAGACCAAACTGGGCCCACAGGACCCTTAATAACCCACCTTACCATAATGAACAATTCACTATATCTTAATTTATGAAACAAAGCATTTTTCAGAGCTCGCCTACCCATTTTCCCATCTTCCACGAAGAGGATGTGCAAGGGGTAGAGGGTGCTGAAGTAGAAGACGTCAATGTTGTTCTTCACCGCCACCTGAAAGGGGAAATAACCTCAATCCATGGAGGGTTGGAGGCAGACTCAACTCCACATAGGACCATTTCCCTTGTAACTGAAGGAATGCAAGATTAATTTACTGATCTTGGAAGACAATCCTACTCGGACAACGAGGGATCATCTAAATAAAGTAAGTGACTGAAGGAATCTTCAGATACGGCTTAGAAACACTCAATTTTTGGATGACTACACTTCCCATGATCCTTCCATTAGAGGAGTCTAATCCATGGAGGTGGACTCATGACATATGGGAACTTGTCTCATTTCCTTTGCAACTCCATGGGTCTTTGGATACTTCACCATAATAGGGGGGGCTTAGAAATGCTCGTTTTCAGGGACTACACGTCCCATCATTCTCACCTGGAGATTGTTCAAGGGGTCCATCTTCATGACGGAGCCGACAGTGTTGAGAGGGAGGGAGAGCTCCACGCTCTGGTTGGGTGCCAGCGGAGCATGGACCTGGAGCGGGGCAGCAGGGGCCAGGCCAAAACTGCAGGGGGTAGGGAGGAAGGGGGATCAGAGCCGGAGAAAAGAGAAAACAGGCCTTTTCACAGATGTGTTAAAGAAGGCTTTATTCTCAGAACTGTGTGAAAGTAATCATCCTTCTCAGAGCTGAAGAAAGAAAGCCTCCTTCTCAGAGCTGGAGAAGAGAGAAAGTAGGCCTTGTTAGAGCTGGAGAAAAGAAAATGTGAGGCCTTCTTAGAGCTGGAGAAAGTAGGCCTCCTTCTTAGAGCTGGAAAGGGAGAAAGTAGGCCTTCTCAGAGCTGAAGAGGGGGGAAAGTAGGCCTTAGAGCTGGAGAAGAGAGAAAGTAGGTCTTTTCACGGGTATGTTAAAGTAGGCTTTCTCAGAGTTGGAGAAGAGAGAAAGAAGGTCTCCTTAGAGTTGGAGAAGAGAAAAAGAAGCCTTTCTCAGAAATAGCCAACAAGCCTCTTCAGTCAACTTCTTAGAGGGTTCAATCATCATTAAACCATCTTATTCAGGAGACTGAGGTCATCACAAGAGGCCATCTTGTTACAAAACCATATATCTCCATAGAATGTACCTGTTGCGGTTGAACTGGATGGCAAAGTCGGACATGACTTGCAGGGCCTTGTTGGAGAGCACCAGGTCCATGGAGAGGGCCCCCACTTGACGGCTGAAGGTCCCCGAAATTTCCAGCCCCTTGGCCTTCACTGCCGGGAGCCAGACCTGCGGTGAAATATTGGGGGGAGGGGGGGGTCAGTCCTAAAAAGGGAAGGAAGAGGCCCTCCAATACCCATCTAGAGGGATGCACACCTCTACAGTTCTGCAACTTACCGTTTTGGGGGCCACGTAGGACCCGGACAGGGTCCCCACACCGCCGGCCAGGTCAAAGAGGTCCCCCAGCCCGCCTCCGAGGGGGGCCCCCAGGTTGGAGGGCATGACAGCGCTGGGGGCGGTGAAGCTGGGGCCCCCCATCTGTGGACGAGGCGAGAAATATGATATTATTACAAGACCAAATAGGAAGGCAAGGCAAGGAGGGGCATCTATGGGACGGGACGGTTTCCGGGTCACGGCACACACTGACTGCCCCACAGATTGAGAGAAAAGGCAATGAGAGCAGCAACAAGGACACACACTGAGGGTGTGATGCAGAACAAAACATAGGCCTCGGGTACTTTCAGACTGGCCCTCAACCAATTTTGTAAGGAAGACTATTGCGAGAGAAGGACAGAAGTCCTACTTTCTCCCTTCTCCACCTCTGAAAAGTTCTACTTTTTTCCCCCTCCAGTTTTAGAAGGCCATTCTTTCCCCCTTCTCCACCTCCGAGAAGTCCTACTTTAACACAGCTCTTAAAAGTCCTACTTTTCCACTTTTCCAGCTCTGAGAAATCCTGCTTTCTCCCTTCTCCAGCTCTGAGGTCTACTTTAAACCAACTCTTGAGAATGAGGCCTTCTTTCTCCTTTCTACAGCTGTAAGAAGAAGGGCTACTTTATCACAGCTCCAAGAAGTCCTACTTTCTCTCTTCTCCAGCTCTGAGAAGTTCTACTTTTTCCCTTCTACAGCTTCAAGAAGGCCTTTTTCTACCCTCTCCAGCTTTGAGAAGGACTACTTTAACACTAATCTGAGAAGAATATCTAGTTTCTCCCTTCCCCAGCTCTGAGAGGGCCTATTATTTATTTATTTATTTATTATTATTTATTACTGTGCTTATATACCGCCGTTTCTCAGCCTAAATCGGCGACTCAACGCGGTTTACAACACAACGACAAGCAGCAATATTCCATTAAAAAGCATAAAAACACATACACAATACACAATATTATTGGGCCACCAATAATAATCCAATGCATCTCTTAATTGTAGTCGCAATCCAATTTCGTCGTCTGTGATTAACCAATCCTTGTTCATCAGTTTCGTTGCTCCAGATTAATCGAATGCTTGTTTAAACATCCATGTCTTCAACCTTTTTCGAAATACCATCAGCGAAGGGGCTGATCTCACCTCTATGGGGAGGGCATTCCAAAGCCGAGGGGCCACCACAGAAAAGGCCCTGTCTCTCGTTCCCGCCAGCCGCACCTGTGAAGCAGGCGGGATAGAGAGCAGGGCCTCCCCAGAAGATCTTAGGGTTATTATAACACAACCCTGAGGAGGCCTACTTTCTCCCTTCTACAGCTCTGAGAAGGCCTTTTTTCCCACTTCTCCATCTCTGAGAGGGGCTCCTTTAACACAACCCTGAGAAGGAGACCTACTTTCTCCCTTCTCCAGCTCTGACAAACCCAGCTTTCTCCCTTCTCCAGCTCTAAGGCCACCTTTCACACAGCTCTGAGAAGAAAGCTTGCTCACAAAACCAAACAGAGAGGAAGATGGATGACTGTCGCATTCCCCCAAACTGAAGGGAGGGCCCTAAGGGAATGGGGGATTGTGGGAGGGGGCTCTGCGAAGGGCAAGGGACAACACCGAAAGCAAGAAAGAGGGCCAAACCGTACCCCTTCAGCTTCGTCCCCCATCTCCAAGCAGAAAGCAGGCAGCAGAGGGAGGAGGAGAAGAGCCAGCCACATGCAGCGAAAGAAAGAAGAGAGAGGAGCAGGAAAGGGATCGAAAGAAAAAGGGGGAGACGAACAGGAAAGGAGGGGTGGAAAAGAGAGAGAGAGAGTTAGTGACACAGATAAGATGCTGCAGAGGTACAATTACAGAGGTCTCCCACCTCTGGAAGAAAGTATGAAAGAATTAAGTATAAATAAAAATTGACATCAGCTATGATAGTTATTATTACAACAACAACAAGAGGCAGGCAATACATGACATATTAATTGTTATTATTATTATTATTATTATTATTATTATTATTATTATTATTATTATTATATTGCAACAAGGGGAGGTGGGTATTCTTATTGTTAAAACACAAACGGGTGGACAATACATTTATTGTGATTACTACGGCTACAATAAGGGAGAGGTGAGTAATAAAATGTTATGATTAATAATATGACAAATGAATTATTGATCTTGTTCTTATTGTTCTTTTTATTATCATTGCAAAGTGATATGGGTAATAAATTTAAAAAATAGTATTATTATTATTATCATTGCAATAAGGAGAGGTGGTTAATAAATAAAATAGCATTATTATTATTATTATTATTATTATTATTATTATTATTATTATTATTATTATTATTATTTACTTCCCACCTCTTCTTATGATGATGATGATGTAGTATTTATTACCTGCCCCTCCTTGTTCAAATAATAGTAATAATAGTAATACAACTTGAACACAACCAAACCCGGAATGGTTGAAGCAAGGCCTACCAGGCTATCCAGGCCCCCGCCCAGGAGGTCCACGCCCCCCATGGGCACTGAGGAAGTGGCCCCGGGGGCCCCGCTCACTGGGGGCCCCAGGTCAAGGTTCAGGAGGTCACCCAGGAGATCGCCTTGGGTGGGGATGACGGCCGGCTGCTCGGCCGGAGCACCCCCGGACGGGGCCAGGTCAGGGCTCTCCGCACTTTCGCTCCTGGAAGAGAGAGAGAGAGAGACAGATGAGGCAGGTGGGAGGGGAAGGAACAGTGAGGGCGGTCATGTTGGGTTGGAGAGGAAGGGGTGACTCACGAGCCAGTGCGCGGGGGGAGGCTCCTGTGGAGGGCACCGCGGCTGCCTTCCACGAAGGCGCTGGGGGGCTTGTGGTAGACAGAGGCCAGGGTCCCAATGTAGCAGATGAGTTCGTCCAGCAGCGTGGGCTCGATCAGATCTGTCTCCTCCGAAATAAGCGGCTTCTCTGCCAGCACCACCTCCTTGGCTGCCACTGGGTCCGTGGACAGCAGCCGCCAGTAGATGTAACCCCGGTCCCGCAGGTCTGGGTTGTCAGAGTCCTGGGGGGGCAGCATGAAGTCACGTGTACAGGGTGACAGGAGGAACGGGTCACATGACCAAACGAGGGTCACAGGACCAGGGTCTCGTGAGAAACAGGGGTCATGGGAACAGGGTGATGGTAGGAACAGGGATCATGTGACCAAGGTTATGGGAGAAATGGGGGTCACAGGACCAAGGTGACAGGAGGAACGGGAGTCACGGGACCAGGGTCTTGTGAGAAACAGGGGTCACAGGACCAGGGTGACGGGAGGAATGTGGATGTGACCAAGGTTATGGGAGAAATGGGGGTCACAGGACCAAGGTTACGGGAGGAATGTTGATCATGTGACCAAGGTTGTGGGGGTCACATGTCTGTAGGGTCACATGACCATTGAAAGGGCAGGAGGGAGGGGATGCACACCGGGACGGTTCCACTATCTCCGTGAGGGATACCACCATTGAATGGCTTCCTCTCACTCACTAGGCCCTCCAGTCAAACTATATGGACAGAACACCATATAAGAGACCATTTCCCCTCATTAGCATATACCTGGAAATTATGGATAAGAGGCCCCATATCACAGGAGTCGTACTGATATGGGTCCCACAGAAATGGGGTCTTATTGAATATGGGAGAACTGTGGATATTGGTCTTAGCTCATCATCTTTATTATATTACAAAATAATAATGATAATAACATATGGGGAAATAATAATAATAATAATAATAATAATAATAATAATAATAATAATGTGGAGGAAATGTGGATAGAGGTCTATTATTATTATTATTATTATTATTATTATTATTATTATGTAATATATGGGGAAACTGTCTAGGAGCCCCACACCATCATCATTATAATAATAATGATAATGATTATGACAATAACAATAACAACAACAATAATATATGAGGAACCTGTGGATCAGAGTCCCATGTCTCCAGGTCTTAATATTTAGGGGGAAACTGAAGATATAGAGGTTCCTCATTTCAGAGGTCTTACTAAATACAGGCAAACTGAGCTCATGGGTTCCACATTCAAGGGATCTTAGTGACTATATGGGGGACCAGAGAGACATGTTTGTTCATATAATACCATGATGGCGAACCTATGACACCTGTGTCAGCACTGACACGCGTAGCCATTTTCAATGACACGCGACCGCATACACAAAAGAATGGGGCCACATCCTGAGAAGGACATTTCACCCTCAGCTCCTGCACCAGCATTTTTCTATAACGCCGAGATATATGACATTATAGAAAAAAGCAGGTAAGTTAAATAATTAGCTTTTTTGGCTAATACAATTATATATTACATTATATTATATTATAATATTTTATAATTATTTGTTATATTGGTTTTTTTCTCAAAGTGACACCCCACCTGAGTTATGCTCAGTTTTTTGGTGTGTTTTGACACACCAAGCTCAAAAGGTTGCCCATAACTGATATAATACATTACATTCATAAAGGGGGACCATACCTGCGTGGCCAGGCTGAGGACCTGCTGGACCAACTCCTGGGTCTCAGTGGGCTTCTTCAGGAAGAGCTTGACGATGGCGGTCAGCAGCTGTAGCTGGACCTGTGATGGGGAGAGATGGACAGACAGGATGATCCCCCTCCAAAGGATGAGAGGGAGCCTGGTCTCGTGAAAAATGGAGGTCAACCATGGTAACAGGAGGGAAGGGGGTCATAGGACCAGGACTACAGAAGGAACTGGGGGGGGGGGGGGGGTCAAGTGACCAAGGCTTATGGGAGGTGGGGGGGGGGGGGGGTCACGTGACCATGGTAGCAAGAGGAACTTGGGTCGTGGGACCTGGGTTACAGCAGAAATAAATAATAATGTAAAAAAAAATTCGACCCTGCCACCATCTCCCCGAAGAGACTCGGGGCAGCTAACAAAATACAGTGAAGTGCTGCATACAGACAATACATAAATCTAACACGATAAAATCAAAGAGTTACAATTGCACACATACATAATGACAATGTAAAAATTAAAATTCATAAATTGCAGTCGTAGCTGCAGATAAAAAAACTTGTTTCCAATTGACACAGCCCAGTGCCAATGTGACGCCAACAGTAAGTCCTTGGACCAATCCTAAAAAACCTACGTAAGATCAAAGGCTTGTTTTAAAAGCCATGTTTTTGAACTGGAATTGAAGGCTTGAAGGGAGGGGGGTAGCCTCATCTCTCTAGGGAGGGCATTCCACAGCCGGGGCACCACCACCAAGAAGGCCCTCTCTTTCATCCCCACCAAACATATTTGAGACAGTGGTGGGACTGAGAGAAGGGTCTCCCAGCAGATCTCAATGCTTGCGCCGGTTAATAGAAGGTCTCGAAGATAGGTTAGATATGAGGTGTATAGGGGTTTATAGGTAATCACCTGCACTTTGAATTGGACCCAGAAACTCGTTGGGAGCCAGTGGAGCTACTTTAGTAGGGGGATGGTATGCTCTCTAAAGCTCACCCCGGTTAGTAATCTGGCTGCCAACCTTCACACTAACTACAGTTTCCGAGTCATCTTCAAAGGCAGCCCCACGTAGCTACACTGAAAATCTGGGAAGCCACTCTGCTCATCACATTAGTTTGACTTCAAGTGTAGGATAGAGCATTCTTTGCGTATTTTAAGCATGGGAGCCAGCATTCTTTTAAAACGTTAGATGAGGCACGGGAACTGTATTTTTTGAAATCATCTGGATGTTTGGTCATTTCTGTAATGTGATGACATTAGTTGCTCCCAGGTTTACAATGAAACGTTTCCCCAATTTGTGGGAGGAGCCAAAAGTACCGTTGTTAGGGAAAGCATTACCTTTTGCTCACCGAGTTTTTACTTTGCCAGAATAATTTCTTTCTAAAAAATAGCCTTCCATATTCTTCCCTTCCTTCCGTGATATGTCTCTATGCCTTGTGTTGCATGGGAAAGCTGGGAGGGAAGGAGGAGGATGATGATTATTATGCCATGTCTCCATGCTGTTTAGTCCTGGGAGTCATAGTTTCCAAGGTCCATACATTGGTGCATTTACAGTATGGAATGAATGCTCTTTCAGTCCACTATAAATGCCATGGCTCCATGCGATGGAGTCCTCCTGGAAGTTAAAGTTTCCCAAGGTTCATACCCTTCTCTTGGTGCATTTACAGTATGGAATGATTGCCCTTTCACCCATCACTCCATGCAATGGAGTCCTCCTGAAAGTTATCATTTCCCAAGGGCCATAACCTTCTGGGTGCATCCACAATGGAAAATAAATCCAGTTGAGATCAATTTTTCATAACTTTCTGTTCTCCGTAACCGTCTCTTGGTGCATCTACACTGTGGAATGAATGCAGGTGGGCCTTACTTTAAACGCCATGTCTCCATGAGATGTTCTTGGGAATTGCAGTTTCCAAAGGGAAATGAACCCTCTTGGTTAGACCACACCTGGAATATTGTGTCCAATTCTGGGCACCACAATTGAAGAGAGATATTGACAAGCTGGAATGTGTCCAGAGGAAGGCGACTAAAAGGATCAAGGGTCTGGAGAACAAGCCCTATGAGGAGCAGCTTAAAGAGCTGGGCATGTTTAGCCTGAAGAAGAGAAGGCTGAGAGGAGACATGATAGCCATGTATAAATATGTGAGAGGAAGTCATAGAGAGGAGGGAGCAAGTTTGTTTTCTGCTGCCCTGGAGACTAGGACGCAATGGAGCAATTGTTTCAAACTACAAGAAAGGAGATTCCATCTGAACATTATGAAGAACTTCCTGACTGTGAGAGCCGTTCAGCAGTGGAACTCTCTGCCCCAGAGTGTGGTGGAGGCTCCTTCATTGGAAGCTTTTAAACAGAGGCTGGATAGCCATCTGTCGGGGGTGCTTTGAATGCAATTTTCCTGCTTCTTGACAGGCGGTTGAACTGGATGGCCCATGAGGTCTCTTCCAACTCTATGATTCTATGGGTGGCATCTACACTGTGAATGAATGCAGCTGGACCTTATCATAGCTCCATACTATGCAGTCCTGGGAGTTAGTTATCCAAGGTCTCCACCCTTCTCTGTGGGGCAGGAGAGAGAGAAAGAGAGCATAGCCGCTTTCCTTCCTTCCCTGCTTTCTTGCTTCCAGAAATGAAGACTTGTAACCGCTGACATGTGATCTTGCGTTAGTAGGGAAGCTGGGATTTCAAAGAGAGGAGGTTTTTTTTTCAACAAAGAATACGAAGGAGGGATGGTGGGCGGGGCCAAATCTCTATAACGTGAAAACTCAAAGAAAGGCAGAGTACTACTGAGTTGCATGGAGACATTTAACAGTGTGATGATGGTAGGGAAATCATCTGTTTCATTGAAAAGCAGAGATCTACTCAGCTCTACTCAGCCAATCATTTCATAGCTTCAATGTGATGAAGTGGTAAGGCGTGGACCACCGTGGCCAAGTCAGGCTTTTCGAGGTACGGTTGTAGCTGGCGCAAAAGTTTTGATTGTGCAAAGGCCTTCCTGGCCACCTGAGCATCAAGCGTCAACAATGAATCCAAAAGGACCCCCAGACTGCGGACCTGTGTCCTCAGGGGGAGAGTGACCCCATCGAGCACAGGTTGCCACCCAATATCCTGATCAGCCTCACGACTGACCAGGAGGACCGCTGTCTTGTCTGGATTAAGTCTCAGCTTGTTGGTCCTCATCCAGTCCGTCACAGCTGCCAGGCACTGGCTTAGATCCAGGGAGCTTTTCTGGAATTAGGTGGAAAAGAGTAGTAGAGTTGAGTGTCATCTGTGTAGAGATGGCACCCAACTCCAAAACTCCAGATGATCTCACTCAGCAGTTTCATGTAGATGTTGAAAAGCATGGGGGAAAGAATGGAACCTTGTGGGACCTCACAGGTCAATGGCCAGGGGTCCGAGCAGGTGTCCCCCAGCTTCACCATCTGGGTACTATCCTCCAGAAAAGAGAGGAGCCACTGCAAAGCAGTGCCCCCAAGACCCATTCCAGGGAGCCGACCCAGAAGGAGCCGACCCAGCCACTGAGATGTCCAAGAGAAGTAGCAGGCTGCAGATGTTATCCACCAAGGTAACCAAAGCTATCTCTGTTCTGTGACCAGGCCTAAAACCAGACTGTGAGGGATCAATCAGTGTCATTTAAGAACCCCTGGAGCTGAGAGGCCACCACCCACTCCAGAACCTTGCCCAGAAAAGGAAGGTTTGAAATAGGCTGGTAGATATTTAATATAGTTGAATCCACGGATGATTTCTTTAGAATAGGTTTTACAATTGTTTTTTAAAAATTAGTCGGAAAATGTCCCTGGTCCAATGAGGCATTAATAATCCTCGAGAACCATTCAGCCAGCCCCCCACTGGCAAGTTTGATAAGCCAGGAAGGGCAAGGATCTAGAGCACAAGTGGTTGTTCTCACAGCTCCAAGAATCTTGTCCACATCATCAGGCCGGAATGGGTCACGTGACCATGATCACAGGAGGAACGGGGTCACGGGACCAGGGTTACAGGAGGAATTGGGGTCATGTGACCATACTAACAGGAGGAACAGGTGTCACATGACCAGGACGGGAGGAACGGGGGTCACGTGACCACAGTAATGGGAGGAATGAGGGTCACAGGACCAGGGTTATGGGAGGAACGGAGGCCACATGACCCTAGATAGGGTCACAGGACCATCAGGAGGGATGGGATGCATACTGCTACAGTTCTGCCGTCTCCACCAGGGATAAGGCCATTGAATGGCTTCCTCCATCCTTTGGGGGAATAACCCTGCAAAGGATGAGGGGGAGACCCTCTCAGTTGACCTCCCTCTCCCACCGGTCTGCCCCCGCCTACCTGTGTGCTTTCGTCATGGAAGCCCTCCAGGAAGCTCTCCAGCAGCTCATCCGCGTTGTCGATGCGCTCAGCGTACTCCCCCACAATCCAGATCATGGCCGCCCGGGCCTCTGGTTCGTCCAGCGAGTCCAGGTTCTCACACAGAGTGGCGATCACACTTTCGTACCTGAATCATACCATATAATATCAATAACACAAAACTTATATATCTTATAATAAAATAACATATATAATTACAATATAAACTTATATATGTGTATATATATATAGTATAATATAATTTAGTATAACAAACGATATAAACTTTATTATACATACAATATAATATAAACAGATATAATGTAAATAATATAAACATATACTATACTACATAACAATGAATATAAAAATATGATATAATAGAAAATAAATAATATCTGGTGATATTACATATATATTATAAAATATAGCAAATAATAAGCACATCTTATAAATCTATCTATTCTATCTATACACATAATAAAAGTGAAAATGTGTATGTGTGTATGTGGTGGAGATGTCCACTTACACACACAGGCTCCTGCCTCCACAAACAGCTTTAACCCAGTGCTGAGGTGCCACCCAAAGCACTCCCTCCAAGGACATTACATGTTATAGTGGGCGTCATGAACATGTCTCCCAATGCCTGCCTGTGTCCACCCCTGCCCACCACTTAAGTGAAGGCTTTCATTCGGGGACAATTTCCTTCTACATTTTCTGTTTTTCCTCCAGATCGGGACCAAACTAGACACACAGACCCAACCTGGTCAGCTGTGCATACAGCCTGGGTTTTGGGGGGAGATTGACCTTGATTCTGGGAGTTGTAGTTCACCCTTATCCAGAGAGCACTGAACACAGCTGACAATGGATCTAGACCAAATTTGGAACACAGAACCTTGGTGACAAACATAACATACTGGAGGGGTTGTGGGGGGGGGGGGGGGAGCCATCTGCAAGGGAATTGTAGTTCACCCCGCATCCAGAGATACTGCCAAACTTCCCAAAATAATCAATGCCTTTTTCAAATAATCTGGGTACCGCCAGGTCCCCAAGCTAGTAATACAATATATAACATTGTATAATTAAAATATAAACATATTTTATATATATATTATATTACATCATATAATAGAAAATAAATAATATAAACTTATAATGGACTCTTTGTGTACGAGTCTAATTCATCCAATATGTGTATGAAAAGTTCTGCCATTTTAGATCAAATCCAATTAATAATCTTGCCAGAATTACTAGTGGCTCCAAATGTTTGAATGGCGGCATTTCACCCTTTGCAGACTGAAGTCTATTTCCTACCTATACATACATACATACATACATACATACATACATACATACATACATACATATTCAATCATCCAACAGGGTATTTTTAGCCTGTTGTAGTCTAAAAAAAAAAGGTAGTCCCCTGACATTAAGTCCAGTCATATCTGACTCTGGGGTGTGGTGCTCATCTCCATTTCTAAGCCGAAGAGCCAGCGTTGTCCGTAGAGCGGTACCTATTGATCTACTCACATTTGCATGTTTTCGAACTGCTAGGTTGGCAGAAGCTAGGGCTGACAGCGGAAGCTCACGCTGCTCCCCGGAATCGAACCTGCGACCTTTCGATCAACAAGCTCAGCAGCTCAGTGCTTTAACCCACTGCGCCACCGGGGGCTCCTGTTGTAGTCTATTTCCTTCAAATATATATATACATACATACATATTTATATGATACTACCTGTACCCTGCCACATGTTGCTGTGGCCTATAGTAAATCTTTTCAAAGTAGAGGTAGATATCTGGTCTATTATGAAAGAGAGGTACCTACCTATTCCTTCCCCCTTTTCCTCCCCATTCCTTCTCTACCTCTTTCTTTCTTTCTTTCTTTCTTTCTTTCTTTCCTTCTTTCGCTCCTTGGTTTCATCCTTCTCTCTTTCCTTCATTCCCTCCCCCTTTCTTCCTTTGCCTCCATTCTTCCCTCCATGTTTCCTTCCTTCTTTCATTTTTTATTTCCTTTTCTCCTTTCTCCTGCTTACCAAACCCTTCTCATGGGAGTCCTGTGTGCCACGTTTGGTTTAATTCCGTCGTTGGTGGACTTCAAAAAGCTTTGATTATAGGTAAACTATAAATCCCAGCAGCTACACCGGAGGGGGGTGGGAGGAGGAGGAGGAGGAGTGCATGGGCAGGGCGTCGGTCGGTGTGGGTGGGGCTTTGGCGGAGGGGGGTGGGAGGAGGAGGAGTGCAGGGGCGGGGCCTCGGTGGGTGTGGGCGGGGCTTCGGCGGAGGGAGGTGCGGAGGGTGCGTTGGCCGTTTGGTCATGTGCGTGTGCCGGGGACTTTGCGCCATTGCGCATGCTCAGTTGTTTTGTCATTTTGTGAGTGTGTTGTGTTGTTTTTTATTTTAATTCAATTTGTTTGTACCTTGTGGGTTGTGGTAGGTGCATGGGAATTTTGGTTAATTTTTGTTGGGGTTTTTTTGAGTTTTGCTGTCCCGTTGGACGGCCCTTACAGATTTATATATATATATATGATATAATATGAAAAGTCACTCACTTGTTGGGGTACTTGCGGAAGATGTCCTTGATGACCACAATGGCCTCCTGCACCACGTAGTTGACCTTGGTCTGGATGAGGTCCAGCAGGGTGCTCACACAGCGCTCTGCCGATTGCTGGGAAGGAAGGAAGGAAGGAAGGAAGGAAGGAAGGAAGGAAGGAAGGAAGGAAGGAAGGAAAGCAGAAACAATAGATTATAACAACAACAACCACCACGACCATTCTGGGGTCGGGCTGCATGTCCTTTGAACTCACCTCGACCTTGATGGCACACCGACCGATGGCCCGCACGGCTTTTCTCACAAAGTCCACATCCACTTCTGTGGCATATTCCTTGAGTTCAGCCAGCACCTGTCATGGGATGGAGGCCCAATAAGCTCTGAGAAGACCTACTTTCCCCCTACTCCAGCTCCCATAAGACCAACTTACCCACTTCTCCAGCTCCAAGGTCTACGGTTTCCCTTCTATGAGACCAACTTTCCCCCTTTTCCAGTTCCGAGGCCTTCTTTAACAGGTCTAAGACCTACCTTCCCCCTTCTCCAGCTCTGAGGCCTATTTTCTCTGAGAAGATCTACTTTCTCCCTCTCCAGCTCCCATAAGGCCTACTGTCTCCCTCCTCCAGCACTGAAGCCTACTTTCTCCCTACTCTGAGAAGACCTACTTCTCCAGCTCTAAGGCCTACTTTTCCATCTCCTCCAGCTCCAAGGCCTACTTTCTCCCTTCTTCAGGAAGATCTACTTTTCCCTTCTCCAGCTCCCATAAGGCCTACTTTTTCCCTCCTCCAGCTCCGAGGAAGAGGACCTACCTGCGCGATGTTGGCCTGGGAGGCCAAGCGGATCATAACATCTAGCTTTTCCAGTTTGACATAGATGGGGTCGTTGTACTTGACAAAGAAGACCTTCATCTCATGCTTCAGAATCTCTGGTCTGTAAGGAGAAAGACATGTCAGCCCCCAAAGGCGTGAAGTCCAGCGTGACTCACCTTCGCACCCTCAGGGGGGCATGCATCCTCAGGGTCCCAGGACTCACCTCTTCTGGACAATGAGGTTGATGTTGCGGAGGGCCACGTACTGGAGCTCGGGCTCTGCGGACAGCAAGGTGACTAGCGGTGGGGCCAGCTTCTTCAGCAGAGTCCCATAATAGTCCAGGTCCTTGGAGAGCATCTCCATGAACTTCATCAGGACCTTGACAGCTGAAAGGACCACCGCTGAATTGGCATGGGAGAGCCGGGGGGTCACCCGCTCACAGACACTGTGGGGTCAAAAGGGAGAGAGGGTTGGGACCAGAAGGAAGAACCGAAATGGAGGAGAAGGAGGGGGAGGAAGCAGAATACATACATACATATACTCTTTGTGTGTCTATGATGGTCTACAGGACTTAGATGGATCAGGACCATAGCTGGAACGCATATACCTTTCATGATCCAAATGAAGATATTAATAAGAGGAAGATGGGAGTTATAGTCCAACCACTACTTGAAGAGCCCTGTGAATCCTACCCACAATGGATCTGGATGCATTTCATTACCCCAATGATCCAAAATAAAATACACACGCATTCATATAATATATATATATATATACACACACACAAGTATTATATATATGTGTATGTGTGTGTGTATATATATATGCGTGCATGTATGATGCAATATATATGTAATATATGCGTGCGTGTATCCCTTGGTCCTCCAATGCAATGAATAACAATAATAGTAATAATAATAATAGGAATGAGGCTAGAGAGGGGGACTCCAGAGGTCCTCTTGACCAACTCTATTGGAAGAGGTGGGTCATAAGAGTGACCCGGTGGTGACCTACAGCTCCCGTAACCCCTGGGTCTCGGGGTCAGAGGTCAAGGGCTCCTGACCTCTGGGCCTCGCGGTCATCCTTGGGCATGTAGTTGGCCAGGCAGTCCAGGATGAAGATCTGGCCCCACTCGGTGCACTCATTGAGGGCCGTCAGGAGCTTGTTGATGGACTGCGGATTCAGGTCCAGCAGGTTGCTGCTCGGGTGGGACTCCGCAATCTCCGACAAAGCTGCCACTGCGTTCGCCACCACCTGGAGGCCAGGGAAGGAAGAGAGGGTCAAAGGTCATGGGGAGGAGCCCCCGGAGAGTGGGAAGAGGGAAGAGCAAGGGAAGAGGTTCCTTGAAGATCCCCTAAGTCCTCCAAGGTCAACTTGCACCAGAAGAGCAGTGTTCCTTCTAGGAATGTCCCGATCCTCCAGGGCGACTTTATGGGCAACTTATACTGGGTGAGGGCCAAAAAAAAAAAATCACATTGGAGGACCGTTTCCCTCTATGATTCTCTAGGTCTTCCAGGATGACTTTATGGACAGCTTCTGCTGGATGTTAAACCCAGAATCATACTGGAAGACCTAGAGATTCCTAAACAGGTGCTCACTATTATCCTCCAGGTCCTCTAAGGTCAGCTTGCACTAGAGGACCTAGATTCTTAGAGAAGTGTTCCCTCTAGGAATCTCTGCATCTTCCAGTATGACTCTATAGTCAGCTTGCACCAGAGGGCCTGGATTCCTAAATAAGTGTTCTCCCTAGGAATCTCTTGGTCCTCCAGTGTGATTTGATGATCACGTTAGCCATAGAATCATCCTGGAGGACCTAGAAATTCCTTGAAGGGTCCTCTGGCTGGTTCTGTGATCAACTTGCACTTGAAGACCTCGATTAATAGATAAATGTTCTCTCTAGGAATCTTTTGATCCTCCAGTATGATTCTATGATCCCACTGACCAAAGAATCATACTGGAGGATCTAGAGATTTCTAGAGAGATATTCTCTAGTCCTCTAGCTGAATGTATGGTCTACTCACACTGGAGGACCTGGATTCCTAGAGAAGTCTACTCTCTAAGTATCTTTGGGTCCCACAGAGTGATTCTACAATCAAGATGGCCATAAAATAACCCTGGAGGACCTGAAGTATTCTCTCTGGCTCTCTAGGTCTTCCATGGCCAACTTGCACAGAGGAACTAGAGAAGTGTTCCCTCTTGAACCTCCAGAGTGGCAATATGGCCAACTATGGTGAATGTCTGGTGGAAGATTACCATAGAGTTGACCCGGAGGGCCACAGTTGTCCCTGAGGAAGATTCCTAGAGAAACATGAACCGTCCCCTCCCACCATATTCCTGGTGCCTACCATGGGGTTGGAGTCTGAGATGAGGTCCTTGAGGGTGTCCAGGAAGCCCTGGTCCTCCACCAGCTGGGCATTGATGTCGTGCAGTTTGGCCACGCAGACAGCGGCCGTCTTGCGCACATAGGGATCCTCGTCCTTCAGACACTTGCGCAGGGGCTCACACAAGTACTCCGTGATCTTGTCCACCCGGATGCAACCCATCGTCCGCACTGCCAGAGCCCGGATCAGTGGGTTGGGGTCCTCGCAGTCCTAGATTGGGAGGGGAGGAAGTCGTCAGGGGGCCTTCTGGGAGGAGCCAGAGAGTCCCGGAGAAGGGTCCTCTCTAGGGATCAAGAGCTCCTCCAGCAAGACTTATGCAACCAGACTTCTAACTTCCAGGAAGCTTGGCCAAGAATGGCAAGGGATGCTTTGAGATGCCCCCTTTCTCACCTTGACGAAGGTGTTGACAGCCATGATGGCCATGTCTGGCTGACTCTTGGCATAGTTCATCAAGTACAAGTAGACCAGCTTCTTCAGCTCCAGGTTGTCCGTCTGCATGCAATTTACCACATCTGGGAAGAGGGCACTGGAAGGCAATGTGGGGAAGCGGCACAATCAAGGTGGCACTCCATTTGGCATTCTCCATTGGATTCAAGATGACGCCCCAACTGGCATTCCCCATTGCATTCAAGATGGTGCCCCAACGTGTTTTCCCCATTACATTCAAGATGGTGCCCCAATTGTGTTGAAGATGGTGCTCCACTTGGCATTCCCCAATGCATTCAAAATGGCGCCCCAACTGGTATTCCCCAATTGGATTCAAGGCGGTGCCCCATTGTAAGATGGCACCCCAATTGGCATTCCTCACTGTGTTTAAGATGGCACCCCAACTGCATTCCCCATTGGATTCAAGATGGCACCCCAATTGGTATTCTCCATTGGATTCCAGATGGCACCGCAATTGGATTTAAGTGTCCCAAATGTAATCAAAATGGTGCCCCAATTGGTATTCCCAACTGTATTCACGATGGCACCCCAATTGGCATTCCGCATTGTATTTAATATTGTGCCCCAACTAGTGTTCCCCATTGCATTAAAGATGGTGCCCCAATTGGTGTTCTCCATTGGATTCAGGATGGCGCCCCAATTGTAATCAAGATGGCACCTCAATTGGCATTCCTCTTTATATTCAAGATGGTGCCCTAATTGCATTCTGCATTGGATTTCAGATGGCACCCCAACTGGCATTCCTTATTTATTTTGAAATGGCACCCCAACTGGAGTCAAGAAAGCACCCCACCAGTGATACCCACTTTATTCAAGGTGGCGCCCCAATTGTATTCCCCATTGGATTCTCTATCTTGAATCTGGAGGGGGGTTGTGCTTCCAAGCAGATGTGCTAAACGAAGGCTCTCCTGAATCCCCAGTAATAACCCCTCCCCTTTGCTTGGGATTCCTGGGGAGGAAACCCGAGCGACAGAACTTTCTCTGCCATCTGATAATAGCCACCAACCCACCTGACGTCTTTGCCCACCGTCATGGAGGCAATCACCTTCTTGACCGCCTCCTTCTTCTTCTCCTTTTTGTCGCTGTTCAGCTCGGCCTTCAGTTCAAAAATCTCTCCTGAAGAAACATAGAGACAGGGTGGGCACTTAAACACAGGCAACCCATGTTCCTATTATATATATATCTACAGCGCCCACCCCCCAGCCTACACACATATAGTCGAAAGCCAGACAGCTCATATACACCTTTATACCTCTATAGACAGACAGATATAGAAATATATCATATCCTTTAATCTACAGATTGGGCCACAATGATTAAAATTGTTATTATTATGATTTTGTGCCCTCTTAATGTTGCAAAGCAAGTGACTGGCATAAGAGAAAAATAGCCGTTTTGCATCTGTCAAGGGGCATAGATAAAGATGATAATAATACCATTAATAAAAAGAACAAAATACAATAATAATACAAAAATAATATAATAGAATAATAGAATATCTTATCAAATAATAATCTTCTTCTTCTTCTTTCTAAGCTATTTTCCCAATGGAGGGGATACACTTTGAAATGGTAATACAATAATAATACAATATTCTAATATATAATAATATAATAATTGTAAGACATTATTATATTATATACTAATAATAATAAGCCCACATATAGAAAGCTTCCATAAAAGGAAACAAATGCTAACTGCCTGCTTACTATGGAGAAATCAAGAATTAAATACCGTATTTTCCGGCGTACAAGACGACTGGGCATATAAGGCGACCCCCAACTTTTCAATGTAAAATATAGGGTTTAGAATATACCCTATATTTTGGCATATAAGACTACCCCTCTTGCCAGCCCCTGTACTTTCTTTAGATCTACATCTAAATCAGGGTGCGGAAAGGCAGAGATGCTTGGTCGGGAAGCAGAGTAAGCGTGCCCCCTTTAAATATTGTTTGTGGGCAAAGACAGGAGGTGGTTTTGTTGTTTGAGTATTCTTCTGGCGCTTGTGCGACCCGGCATTGAGAAGAGTAGCTTGCCAAAGAGGGGATGTCACTTCCTTTAGGAAAGTTTCAGAGAGGATACCCTGGTGCCATCAACACTGCCAGACAACGCAGTGTAAAACCGCATTATATCGTCAGTGTAGACTCATATAATGTAGCTGCTATTGCTGTGCCCCTCCGGCGCCGTTTGCCTCCCCAGGCTCCCGCTGCCGGCTTCAGCCTCCCCTCCATGCTCGCCTCGGTTGTCAATGCGGCAGCGGAGGAGGCGGTGACGCAAGGCTGGAAGCCAATGGGCGAAGGAGAGGAGGAAGAGAAGCCACCTGGAAGACTTGAGTATATCCCAACTTTTATACCCGGAATATAAAATGACCCCTGACTTCTGTGAAGATTTTCCAGGGTTAAAAAGTCACCTTATTGACCGGAAAATACAGTAATAATAATAATAATAATAATTATTATTATTATTATTATTATTATTATTATTATTTATACCCTGCTTTTCTCTCCACAAGGAGACTCAAACCTGGTAAACTATTATTTTCTATTATGATTATTCTATTATTATATATTACTAGCCGTCCCCTGCCACGTGTTGCTGTGGCCCACATGGGGGTTCTGTGTGGGAGGTTTGGCCCAATTCTATCATTGGTGGTGTTCAAAATGCTCTGTGGTTGTAGGTGAACTATAAATCCCAGCAACTACAGCTCCCAAATGTCAAGATTCTATTTTCCCCAAACTCCACCAGTGTTCACATTTGGGCATATTGAGTATTCATGCCAAGTTTGTTACAGATCCATCATTGTTTTGAGTCCACAGTGCTCTCTGGATGTGGGTGAACTACAACTCCAAAACCAAAGGACACTGCCCACCAAAGCCTTCCAGTATTTTCTGTTGGTCATGGGAGAACTGTGTGCCACATGGGGGTTCTGTGTGGGAGGTTTGGCCCAATTCCATCGTTGATGGGGTTCAGAATGTTCTCTGATTGTAGGTGAACTATAAATCCCAGCAACTACAACTCCCAAATGACAAAATCAATTTTTTGAGTGAAGGACATACATTGGGTTGTTAGGGGTCTTGTGTCCAAATTTGGTGTCAATTCGTCCAGTGGTTTTTGAGTTCTGTTAATCCCACAAACGAAAATTACATTTTTATTTATATAGATTATTAAAAACCGTTAGAAATGTGAAGGGAAATGAAGGAAAGTATTACCTTTCTTGGTGGTGGTGAAGTACTTTGAATCCGACATTTTGGCTTATCTTTGCTGGATCTAGAAGGGGGGAAAAGGGTTTTTTTAATGTCTGAAGGCCCCAAAAGGGAAGAGGAAAAACAGATAGAAGTGGAAAGAAAAATTGAAGCTGCTGAAGACAGAGAAGAAGCCCTTAGCGGAAGGGCCTCCACAGGTTCTTCTTGCATTAATCTGCTTTTGAAAGAGGATCAAGAGAGGATGAAGGGCTGCTTCGTTGGAAGACTGGACTAAAAGAACAAAGGAAAGCTATATTTAAAACACTGGGGATATATATATAATACAGAAAGAGCCACAGAATCAATAACAGTAGGCCTTTTAGGATTATTATATTATGTCAGTAAGAAGAGTTCCTTTACATTATGCTTTATTATATTACACAAATGTTTTATGATATACTACCTAAACGCTTCGCTGTGGCTCAATCTGATATGAAATGAATGAGACAGTAAATTAAAGTATTGTTGTGAACATAGATTAACTGAGAAAACGCATCATTCAATTCAATACCCTGCCTTGTGTTGCTATGTCTATATGGAATAAAAGGAAAGGAAAGGAAAATATTTTTTTACAGAAATCATTCTTTATTGTAAAGCTAGTGGATTGACTATATTTTTGTTTATTTATTTATTTATTTCAAGTATTTGTATCCTGTCTTCTTATTCTGCTGAGGCAAAAGGAAAGCTGCGCTGTGATTGGTTGTTGTTTCTTTTACAGCTATAGTAAAAGGAAAGTCGCACAGCAATTGGTTGCTCATGCTCAGTTTTCATGTCTTATACTGCTGAGGTAAAATGAAAGCTAGGCTGAGTGGTTGCTTTGGGCATCACAGATTCCACTTTGTCTATTCCCGGACTGCTAGTTCTACTCTAAATACACACTTGTATTCCATTTCATTTTACTATAAAACACACACACATATTGGAATGCAACATTGTGTCGAAATGTCAAGTTTGAGTTTTGCGAGCACAAACTTACGCAGGCTGAGATTTTATATAGAGAGATATTTGGTCTACATTATTATTATCTACAGATTGCATTATGGTAATATTTGGATTACATTATTATTATTATTATTATTATTATTATTATTATTATTATTGGATTAAGTCATCATTATTATATTCAGATTATATTATTATTATTAAATTTGGATAATATTAAATGTCAGTTATAGTACATGCACAAATGTATTATACAAGCTAGCAGAATCCTATGGTTTGCTCCAGATTACAATGATGATAGTAATAATAACAATAATACTATAATACAATACAGTACAATATAATATAATATAATACAGGAATGCATCCTTCTCAGCCAAAATAGCAACAATACCAATAATGTATAATATAATTATAATACAATATAATATAATATAGAAATTGACCTTAAGCCATAATAATAATAATAATACAAAATAACAAATATAGGAATGCATCATTCCGAACCATAATAATAATAATAAAATATAATATAATATAGGAATTGATCCTTCTAAGCCATAATAATAATAAAACATAATAAATATAATATAGAACTAACCCATAATAATAACAATAATATAATATAATAAATATAATAAAGGAATGGATCCTTCCAAGCCAAAATACCAACAATACTAATAACGTATTTTATTTATTTATTTATTTATTTATTTATTTACCATATTTATACCCTGCCCATCTCACCCTGTAGGGGACTCAGGGCGGCTCACATATATAGGCAGCGATTCGATGCCATAATAACATACATCAATTAAATAAACATATATATTAAAACAATATTAAAACAATCATTAAAAGCATATCACACATTAAAAACCACTTATTTTAAATCAAGCAGTCCAATATCGAAATCCGTGTCCATACCAGATTATCATCGCACTATTCTATATTCTCTTATTGCACTGGTAGATTACTAACCGAACATCTCGTCCCACATCTAAATTTTTAGCTTTTTCCTAAAGGTCAGGAGGGAGGGGGCTGATCTAATTTCACTAGGGAGGTAGTTCCATAGCCAGGGGGCCACCACTGAGAAGGCCCCATCTCTTGTCCCCATCAGTTGCGCCTGTGATGGGGGAAGGACCAAGAGCAGGGCCTCCCCAGAAGATCTTAATCTCTGAGATGCTTCATAGGGGGAGATACGTTCGGACAGATAAGCTGGGCCGGAACCATTTAGTGCTTCAAAGCCAGCACTCTGAATTGTGCTCGGTAGCAGACTGGTAGCCAGTAGAGCTGACGTAACAGGGGAATTGTATGCTCCCTGAACCCTGCTCCGGTGAGAAATCTGGTTGCCGCCCGTTGGACTACTTGAAGTTTTCAAAGGCAAACTCACATAGAGGGTGTTGCAGTAGTCTATTCGTGATATACCAAGAGTGTGAACTACCAAGTCTGACTTCCCAGAGTATGGGTGCAACTGGAGCACAATTTTTGCAAAAGCTCCCCTAGCCACCACTGAGACCTGGGGTTCCAGGCTCAGTGAGGAATCCATGTTCACGCTCTAGCTGCGAACCTGCACCTTCAGGGGGAGTGTGACCCTGTCCAGCGCAGGCTGTAACACTATACCCTCTTCAGTCTTTTGACTGACCAGGAGGACCTCTGTCTTGTCTAGATTCAATTTAAATCTGTTCACCCTCATCCAGACTGTATCAGCCTCCAAGCACTGGTTCAGGACCTGAACATCCTCCTTAGCAGCAGGTGGAAAGTTGTAGTAGAGTTGAACATCATCTGAGTACAGATGACTTTGAATTCCAAAACTCCAGATGATATCTCCCAGCAGCTTCATGTAGATGTTAAACAACATGGGGGAGAATACTGAGCCCTGCGGGACCCCACAGGACAAAGACTGTGGGGCAGAGCAGATGTCCCCCAACAACACCTTCTAAGAGTGATCGTCTAGGAAGGACCGGAACCACTCTAAAACAATGCCCCCAAGCCCCATATCTGTGAGGCATCCCAGAAGAGAACCAACAGGGACACACTCTCCCTGTCTAGTTCCTTACGTAGATCATCCACTAAGGCGACCAAGGCTGTTTCAGTTCCATGACCCGGCCTAAAGCCAGACTGCTCTGGATCCAGATCATCAGTTTTCACCAAGAACACCCGGAATTATGAGGCCACCACACGTGTAGGACTTTACCCAAAAAGGGGAGTTTGGAAACTGGCTGAAAGTTGTTCAACTGAGTGGGGTTCACTGATGGTTTTTCAACAGCGGTTTTAAGCCCAATGGAATTTTGCTTTCTTGCAAGGAGGCATTAACCAACACCTTCACCCACTTGCCAACCCCCCCCCCCCCTCTGGCCTCCTTTACCAGCCAGGATGGGCAAGGGTCTAGGATGCATGTGGTTGGCCTCGCTTCTCCAAAGATCTTGTCCACATCCCCGGGCTACATGAGTTGAAATGAATCCATCAAAACTGGACAAGCAGGTGCTCGAGTGACATCTTCAGAGACTGCCATTAACACAGTGTATGCAAAGAACCAAGCAAATGTTTCACAGTGAGCTGCCGAATGGTCAGGGATCCCATCTTGCGAGATGAGATTTAACAAATCACTGACCATTCAAAACAATTCAGCTGTACGGTTCTTAGCGGACGCAATGTTGGCTGCAATGAGAGATTTGCTTGCGGCCTTCACTGCCACGGCATATGCCCTTAGATAGGCACATAACCTATAATATAATATAACACAACACAATATAGGAATGGATCCTAAGCCATCATAATATTATTATTATTAGTAGTAGTAGTAGTAATAATATAGTAATGCATCCTTATAATAATAATAATAATAATAATAATAATAATAATATGGCCTAGTTTTTACAGCACTGAATGTTTGCCGATATTAGTTGTTAACCACCCTGAGTCCCTTCGGGGAGATAGGATGGGATATAAATAAATTATTATTATTATTATATTAATATAACATAATAAATATAATACAGGAATGGATCCTAAGCAATAATAATAATAATAATAATAATAGAATGCATCCTTCTGAACAATCATCATAAATATAATATAGGAATGGATCCTAATAATAATAATAATAATAATAATAATAATAATAATAATAATAATATAGAAATTGATCCTTCTAAGCCAAAATAATAACAATAACAATAATAACAGTGCTTATATCTCTAGAGTGAGACAATGCACAACAAAATCCAGTTCTCTGCCCCAAAGAGTTTACAAAAGAAATGCAACGTAAGCAGAAAAGAAGGGAAGTGGTGGGTTCAGGCCTATTTCCTCCCTTCTGTTTATCTGTGTTTGAACAAATGGTTCACACAAAAAAACAGCCTTCTTTGTCCATTCCTGTTCTCTGTGTCCCTTCCTCCTGATAAAAGACCGAAAGGGGACTCTGAATGAATGATTAATGGGGAAAGTTGGCCTGATCCCCAGTCACGAACAGGAGACACAGGGCAACATGGATGGGCCTTATAGAAAATATTAGCAGTATTCTTTAATCCCGAGGTACAGTGGATCGAGAAGGCTGAAGAGAAGGGGAAGAAATATTATTATTAATATTCTACTAATAATATTTTATTACAATATTAATTTTAGTCCATGGGAAATAATAATAATAATAATAATAATAATAATAATAATAATATCCAGCGTCCTTTTCCTTTTTCCTGCTGTTTTCATGTTTCTTTAATTCGGTTTAACCAAATTTCCCATGGAACAGTCCAATTGTGCTTAGAAGAAGTCCCATTCTGCACAATCCCTTATTAATTAATGAATTAAATAATGATAATGATAATAGTATTCATAGAATATCATATAATATCATATCAAAATATAATAATAAATAAGATAAAATAATAAAAATAATATAATGTACGATGATGATGATAATAATAATAATAATACATTTTTATTTATGTCCTGCTTTTCTCCCACAAAGGGATCCAAAGCTTCCTACATATTACAGTACAAAACAACGGCAATTAAAACAAATATATGAACATATAAAACAATCAATAAACATTCATATGCATTTTAAATAATATATACATTAATGTGGAGTCTTGTCAGATCATATTGCAGATCACTATATAAATCGTAATGATAATATATAATAATATATAATATCGATAATCATCATAAATAAATAAATAAATAAAATATATATATTTTCTAATATAATAATATATTATAAGAAAATAAAATACAATAATGCAATGCACTATAAATTATAATAATAGCCTATCATAATAATATAGAATAAGAATAATACACCATAATAATATACAATATCATAATTTTTAAAATGTACTGTGCCAATCCTTGAGGTTTGTGTTAAAACAGATGAAAACACATTATTATTATCATTAATATTATTATGATTATTATTTATACCCTACTTTTCTCTCCAAATATTACTATATTATTATATTTGTTTAATGGTTCACCCTCTAGTTCACCTTGAAACGAGATTCTTTTTCTTATTTTCCCATATCTGAAAGTAATATTGTTATATTTGCTTAATGTTTTCCCTTCCAATAACAACAACAATAATAATCTTGTGCTTTGAGCCTTTTTAATGGAGAGAAAAAGCAGGGTATAAAAATAATAGTAATAATAATGAAAAATGACAATAATAATTTCTGAATTTAACAATAATCTGAATAACAGTAATATGAATTAAAAATTGAAAAGTAAGAACAATAATATAATTTCAAGGTAAACTGTAGGCTAAAACAACAATAATACTCTCATTTATTTCAAGGTAAACTAGAGGCTAAAACAATAAATATAATAATCATCATCATCATAGAATAAGAATCTCATTTATTTCAAGACAACTGGAGACTAAAGCATTAAACATAATAATAATAATATAACAATAATAATCATCTCACTTATTTCAAGGCAAACTGGAGGCTAAAACAGCAATAATAATAATAATAATAATAATCTCACTAATTTCAAGGCAAACTGGAGGCTAAAGCATTAAAAATAATAATAATAATAATAATAATAATAATAATGTCATTTATTTCAAGACAAACCAAAGGCTAAAACTATTATTATTATCTCATTTATTTTAAGGAAAACTGGAGGCTAAAGCAGTAAACATCATAATAATAATAATAATAATAATAATATCTCATTTATTTCAAGGCAAAACGGAGGCGAAAGGATTAACATCATCATAATAATATAACAATCTCATTTATTTTAATCTCACTCAGACAATAATAAATATGCCCGTGGATTACAGTTTGACATTCCCATTAAAGGGCGCTTCTTACCGCCTTCAGCTTCGGCTTCTCCTTCCGCGTCTCTGCAGCTCAGGCCGAAGCGTCCTCTCTCGGCTGCAGCCCGGGCGGAAATGAAGCGAGCATGCGCACACGGACCCGTGCGACGCGAGCATGCGCACACGGACGATAAGCGTGGCGAGCGTGCGCAGAGGGGGGAAAGACCTTAGGGGAGAACGCCACGCATGCGTAAAGGGGCCGGGACAGGGCTGCGGAAGAACGTGAGCGAGCCCCCGCTGAGCAGTTGCCTGGGGCGACCGTTGCCCCTGGCAACAGCATTGGGCCTACTCCTTCAAAAGGCCCTTCACTTGGATTATTTACGGACAATATTTAATTTTAAGAAAACAGTGATAGGGGGAGATATGCCCAATTAAATGCACAATTGCAGAAGTTAGCCAGAAGAGATAAGGAACTATTTTTAAACAAGCAATGCATGGAAGTGGAAGAAGACAACAGAATAGAAAGGACAAGAGACCTCTTCCAGAAAATTAGAAACATTGGAGGTAAATTTCAGGCAAAAATTGGCATGATAAGAAACAAAGATGGCAGGGACCTAACGGAAGCTGAAGAGATCAAGAGAAGGTTATTTTATTTATCGTGTCATCCGCAACCAGAACATTGTATTACATTTCTAACAGAACAAAACAAACAAACAGATAAGAAAAAACAAAACACAAATTTTGCAAACTTGGTAGCTGATTAAATGTCCTTTGACCAGTATCTGGCCACTTGGAGTGCCTCTGGTGTTGCCGCAAGAAGGTCCTCCATCGTGTATGTGGCAGGGCTCAGGTTGCATTGCAGCAGGTGGTCAGTGGTTTGCTCTTCTCCACACTCGCATGTCGTGGATTCAACTTTGTAGCCCCATTTCTTAAGATTGGCTCTGCATCTCATGGTGCCAGAGCACGGTCTGTTCAGCACCTTCCAAGTCGCCCAGTCTTCTGTGTGCCCAGGGGGGAGTCTCTCATCTGGGGGACATGAGAGAAGCCTCCTCGCAGGATTGCAAAACATCCGGGCGTCCCCTGGGCAACGTCTTCGTAGACGGCTGATTCTCTCGATCCAGAAGCAACCAGAGACGACTTGCAGCATGCAATCAAGAGAAGGTGGCGAGACTATACAGAAGATCTGTATAGGAAGGATAATAATATCGAGGATAGTTTTGACGGTGTGGTTGAAATCGAGCAGGAATTTAGAAGGGTTTGGCCCTGAAGGAGAGACCCTGCGGACCCACCAAGAAGGGCTCGCTACAGTGGTGAGCAAGAGAAGCCGCAATTTAAAAGATTTTTCCCTAAGTTCCCAAAAAGAATCTCAACAAAGTTGAAGGAAGCGCCACCGAGATGATTTTATTGCGATCCAGCTGGAAAGGATGCAAAGCAGCAATATTTCACCAAGCTAAGCATAACATGTACACAAATAAAAGCCTTTTTTATACAGTAACAGAGTTGCCAAGTTTGAATTTCCCGCTCCCCGCCCTCTGCCTGGCTTGATTGTGATTGGCTGGCACCTCTACAGCTGGGAGGAGGCTCGGCTGCTGGGCTTCTGCTGCCTCGGCGCCTCGACGAATCAGGAGAAGGGGAAACAATGCATTCTTGAGTGGATTATGAAGATTAGGAAATGTCCAAGTGACCAGCGAGTCCTAAGGGCCTTCGAGCCAGTCTGGCTATTGTCACTGAGTGGTTGCAATAAACACTGATGTTTGGCAATCCTGCCATAATCCGGATTTTTCCAGGGCTGAGACATAGGAGCAATGGGGGAACTTTGGTGGAAGTTTCGGTGAGAGAAAAGTTGAATGGATGACAGATTAGGATGGGGTGTGGCTTTCCGAAGGCCTCCTCCATCCTATTGAGATATGATCAAAATTGCCAATGGACCATTTCCTCTGGGGGACTAACTCCGAGCCCAGAGGTCATGACCCTCTTCTATTGTCCATGCAATTGAGTCTTCTGATAAGGGTCTTTTCAACTGGTGATTTTCCTTCCATCCTGGATCACAGAGGGGTGGCTGCCTTGCATTTTTATACATTTTTCAATAAAGGGGAATTGGGCAAAAGGGTCAGGAAAAGGTCAGATACATTGGGGGAAAATATAGAAATATAGAAATCATAATATTATTTATTTATTTATTTATTTATTTATTTATAACTTTTATATACCGGTCTTCTCACCTCCAACGAGGGACTTGGGCCGGTTTACAACAAGGGGGTTCATACACAATAGTTTAAAAACATCACATCAATAACACACTAATATAAACACATTAAAGTACTATCATATAATTACATAAAGCCAAGTCGTTACAGAAAATATACCCACCTATCCCTCCCCCCTGCATCCCATTGGGAAATTGATAAGAGCCTTGATCATGGCTCAATATATGTCCATAGTTCATTATAGGAAAATCCATACATGAAAGTATGTCCTTAAAGGGAGAAAAGTCTTGATGTGGGGCAAAAAGGGTTCAAGACTCATAAGGAGAGGCTTGGTGATTCCACTGAGCCAAGATATGGAGCTCTGCCTCGTCGGGGCTGAAGCTTGTCCTTGGAGAACTATAACTCCTTCCAAGGGCTGGAGCCAGGTGACAGACCTACTCCCCGATGGCCTCATGGGGTGACCGCATCAAGTCCCCGGGTCCTGGGGCTCCAGAAGAACGAAGAAACAGCAACGGCTTGGATTGACAATCAGCTGTTTTTCTTTTAAAATACATTCTCAAAAATAAAAAGGTTATTCCCCGTGCGCAGGGGCCCGAAATGCAAAAAGCGAGATAGCAGATAGTGTTAGAATTCAGCTAGGAAAAATATGGCACCAAAATGGAGTCGTTTCGTCAACTCGCGGATACGGGGGCCCGAGGGGAATCTGCGGTTTGAAGAAACGCAGATTCGGCCTCCCCGGGACACCTAGGATGCATCCTGGGCAGGCCAGCGGCTGCCCGCAGTCCGGAAAAGGGTAAATTCATGCATTTCATACTGGTGAGCCAAGAAAAGGACACAATGTATCACTATGAAGAGGGCAGGGGAGAGAAGCGAAAGGAGAGAGCTCAAGGTTGCAAAGAGTCCTTGGTTGAGGCTGCTGCTGAGGCACATTTCATCAGTGCTGGCCCAACGGGGCATCCAGGAACTGCGGAACTCCCTGCAGCTGGTCAGATCAGCTCACTCATGGTGAGTGAATTAGAACCATACATCCTGAGGAGTGATGTTGAATGGGCCTTAAGAAGCATTGCTAACAACAAGGCAGCAGGAGATGACAGGATCCCATCTGAACTGATTAAAATCTTGAAAGATGATGCTGTCAAGGTGATGCATGCCATATGCCAGCAAATATGGAAAACACAAGAATGGCCATCAGACTGAAAAAATCAACTTATATCCTCATACCAGAAAAGGGAAATGCTAAAGACTGCTCAAACTTTCATACAGTGGCCCTTATTTCTCATACCAGTAAGATAATGCTCAAGATCCTGCAAGGAAGACTCCAGCAAGACATGGAGCGAGAGTTGCCAGATGTACAAGCTGTGCTTAGAAAAGGCAGAGGAACGGGAGACCAAATTGCCAATATCCGCTGGATAATGGAGAAAGGGAGGGAATTTCAGAAAAACATCTATTTCTGCTTCATTGACTATTCTAAAGCCTTTGACTGTGTGGATCATAATAAATTGTGGCAAGTTCTTGGTGGTCTGGGCATACCAAGCCACCTTGTTTCTCTCCTGAGGAATCTGTAGAAGGACCAAGTAGCAACAGTCAGAACTGACCATGAGTAACACAGAATGGTTCAAGATTGGGAAAGGCGTACGGCAGGGTTGTATACTCTCACCCAACCTATTCAACTTGTATGCAGAACGCATCATGCGATGTGCGCTGCCTGATGAATGCAAGGCTGGGGTAAAAATTGCTGGAAGAAACATTAACAACCTTAGATATGCAGATGATACCACTTTTATGGTCGAAAGCGAGGAGGAGCTGAGGAGCCTTCTAATCAAGGTGAAAGCACAAAAGCAGGGTTGCAGTTAAACATCAAAAAAAGGATTATGGCAACAAGAATGATTGATAACTGGGAAATAGGTGCAGAAAACATGGAGGCAGTGTATGTATATGTATATTGCCACTGCAACGCAACCTCACATCATTATTTATATTGTCACCATTTTTATTTTGTTATTACTTTTGATTTTATTCTCATTAAATAATAAATATTATATGCTTTATTTTATATTTTATTTCATTCTTATTTTTCATTCTATATAAATAATACATATAATATTATTCTTTAGATAGAGCTTATGCCTCCTGTAATAAGCTATTTTTATTTCCTTTTATATTTTATTTTATTCTTATTTTTCATTCTATATAAATAATAATTATAATTTTAAAAATATTGTTTTTATTCTATACTAGCTGTCCCCTATCACACATTGCTGTGGCCCAGTCTGTGTATACGTGTTTTGTGTGTCTATATATGTGTGTAGGGCAAAGGTAAAGGTTTTCCTCTGACATTAAGTCCAGCCGTGTCCAGCTCTGGAACTCTGGTGCTCATCTCCATTTATTATTATTATTATTATTATTATTATTATTATTATTAACTTTATTTGTACCCCGCTAGCATCTCCTGAAGGACTCGATGCGGCTTACACAGGCCGAAGCCTCAGAACACAATACAGAAGAACATAACAATAAACAAAGCAAATCAAATAATTAAGCAAAATAACAGCAACAGTGACAATACATCAAGACACTTTAAAACTGGGCCGGCCGGCGCAATGGGGTACAGGGTTAAAAGTGCTGAAATGGCAGGAGGAAAGTAGGATTAAAATAGTGCGGTGTGCAGTAATATTGATTGTACTAAAGTGCTTCTAGGACTTGGGATGGGGGATTCCTAATTTGAGAAGGCACATCGGAACAGCCAAGTTTTTAGGTTCTTCTGAAAACTGCTAAAGTAGGGGCCTGTCGAAGATCTTTTGGAAGGGCATTCCAGAGTCGGGGGGCCGCCACAGAGAAGGCCCTGTCCCGTGTCCCCACCAAGCGCGCTTGCGACGTGGGTGGAATCACGAGCAGGGCCTCCCCAGATGACCGGAGCGAGCGTGTGGGTTCGTAGATGGAGATGCGGTCACGCAG